CAGGAAGCTATCAAAAGTCTTCCAACAAAAAAAAGCCCAGGACCAGATGGATTCACAGCAGAATTCTATAAGACCTTTAAAGAAGAACTAATACTCATATTCCTCAAGCTCTTCAGAGAAACAGAGAAGGAGGGAGCTATCCCAAACTAATTCTACAAAGCCAATATACACTCATCCCCAAACCAGGCAAAGACCCAACCAAAAAGGAGAATTACAGGCCAATTTCCTTGATGAACACAGATGCAAAGATCCTTAACAAGATTCTAGCTAACAGAATCCAGAAACACATAAAAAAAATTATACACTATGACCAGGTAGGCTTCATCCCAGAGACGCAGGGATGGTTTAACATACGTAAGTCAATAAATGTAATCCAACACATCAACAGAGCCAAGGTCAAGAATCACATGATTATCGCCACAGATGCAGAAAAGGCCAACATTCATTCATGCTAAAAGCTCTGGAGAAAATAGGAATAGAAGGAACATTTCTAAAAACAATAAAAGCCATTTATGACAGACCAATAGCCAATATTATACTTAATGGGGAAAAGCTACAACCAATTCTAAAATCAGGAACAAGGCAAGGATGCCCACTGTCTCCACTCCTCTTCAATATAGTCCTGGAACCCTTAGCCAGGGCAATAAGGCAAGAAAAAGACATTAAAGGAATCTGCATAGGGAAAGAAGAAGTTAAACTATCCCTTTTTGCAGACGATATGATACTATACCTTCATGATCCCAAAAACTCCATCCCCAAACTCTTAGAAATCATAAATCACTTTGGCAAAATAGCAGGATACAAAATAAACCCACAAAAATCAGTTGCCTTCCTGTACACTGACAATGTACAAGAAGAGAGGGAAATAAAGGGAGCAACCCCATTCACAATAACCTCCCAAAAAATAAAATATTTAGGAATTAACCTAACCAAAGATGTAAAAGAACTATTTAATGAAAACTATAAAAAGTTAAAGAAAGAAATTGCAGAAGACACTAGGAAATGGAAAGACCTCCCATGCTCTTGGATAGGCCGACTTAATATAGTAAAGATGGTAATACTTCCAAAACTAATATACAAATTCAATGCAATTCCTATTAAAATCCCAATGACGTACATCACTGAAATACAGAAAACAGTCCAAAAATTCATATGGAACAACAAAAGACCTAGAATAGCCAAAACAATCCTAGGGGATAAAGACAATATGGGAAGGCTATCCATGCCAAACTTCAAACTCTACTACAGAGCTATAATAACAAAGACAGCATGGTACTGGCACAAAAACAGACCCGAAGTCCAATGGAACAGAATAGAAGTTCCAGAAATAAATCCACAGGCCTACAGCCAGCTGATATTCGACAAAGGAGCCAAAGACATACAATGGAAGAAACACAGCCTCTTCAACCGCTGGTGCTGGGAAAACTGGGCGGCCACATGCAGAAAACTAAAAGTGGACCCCAGCCTATCATCATGCACCAACATCAACTCAAAATGGATTAAAGACCTTAACATTAAACCTGAATCTCTGAAACTACTGCAGGACAGAGTAGGAGAAACACTTGAACTAATAGGCATAGGAAGGAACTTCCTGAACAGAGTCCCGGGGTCACAACAAGGTGGAGAGAGACTTGACAAATGGGACTACCTTAAAATAAAAAGCTTCTGCACAGCTAAATCTATCGCAACCAAGCTAGAAAGACAACCAACTAATTGGGAAAAAATATTTACCAGCAATATATCAGACAAGGGGTTAACATCCTGTATATACACGGAACTCAAGAAACTAATCCCTCCCAAACCTAACAAACCAATTACTAAATGGGCAAGGGAACTAAAGAGGGACTTCTCAAATGAAGAAATAAAAATGGCAAAGAAACACATGAGGAAATGTTCATCATCCCTGGTGGTGAAGGAAATGCAAATAAAGACAACCCTGAGATACCACCTTACCCCAGTCAGAATGTCCCACATCCACAAATCAGCCAACGACAAATGCTGGAGGGGATGTGGAGAAAGAGGAACCCTATTACACTGCTGGTGGGAATGTACACTTATACAACCACTTTGGAAAGCAATCTGGAGGGTCCTTAGAAAGCTAAAGATTGACCTCCCTTACGACCCGGTCTTACCACTTCTAGGCATCTACCCTGAACAACAGGAACCAATATACAAGGACACGTGCACCTCCATGTTTATTGCAGCACTGTTCGCAATAGCTAGGATATGGAAACAACCCAGATGCCCCACCACAGATGAATGGATCCAAAAATTGTGGTATCTATACACAATGGAATATTATGCAGCCATTAGAAATGACAAAATAATGGCATTTGCAGGGAAATGGATGGAGCTAGAAGGAATCATGTTGAGCGAGGTAAGCCAAGAGCAAAGAGACAGACGGTACATGGTCTCCCTGATAAGTGGATGCTAAATCCAAAATGTTAGGTGATACGACAAAACTAACAGGACTTAAGAAACAAAGAACTTCCACTCATCTGGTCGAACCACTACTAAGTAACCCCATGCTGCTGATCACATGTATGGTGTATAACATGTGAACACCGTTATATGTTATAGACTGTGATAGACAATTTGCTCTAGGAAAGTTAGAATGAACTTGTGACTTTAAATGAGCATCATTATTCCACAATACTGTGAAATTCGGGAAATTATGTAATCACTTAATCACAATCAAAAAAAAAAAAGAACCTCGGGGAAGGTAGGGAGGAAAGGGATGGTAGGGGGAAAACAATGGAGGGGGTAACAATGTTCAAGAGGAAATGTACTCATTACCTCACTCATGTAACTGTAACCCTCTGTATAGTATCTTTACAATAAAAAAAAATGTTAAAAAAAAATCAGCATGTAGATATATCAGAAAACTAAAAACAGCACCTTCTAAGGATCCAGTAATATCACTCTTGGGCATTTATTCAAAAGACTGCAAGGCAAGATTTAATAAAGTTATTTGCATACCCATGTTCATTAGTACATATTTACAATAGCCAAGTTAACTACCCAGATTCCCTACAACTGATCAATGGATCACAGAAATGTTCTGTGTGTGTGTGCGTGTGTGTGTGTGTGTGTGTGTACACACAATGGAATTTTATTTATCCATCAGGAAGAATACGATGTCATTTATAGGAAAAATGAATGGATGGACTAGGAAAATACTTATATTGTGTAAAGGAAGTTAGGCTCAGAAAGATAAAGAGCACATATGCGGATGTTAGACATAATGTAAAAACACATACAAGGTTATACCATGCATATATAGAAGCAAAGTGACTAAAGTGTAGTATATGCGGGGATGGGTTTTGTTTTCATGGTATAACTACTTTGAACAATTGACATCTTAACAAAATTATTATCAGGAGGCTGATACGCATTTTGCTCAAGGGGGTAAGAACTAAGAGAGTGGCTGGATGAAGAGAAGAGGGTGGATGAACAGTCGTATTAATAAGTATTAATACAGTCATATTAATAAGTTAATACTTAATGTGCATATATGAAGATGAAATTGGGAAATCTGGGAAGACTGGTGGGCTTGGGATAGATGGCAGGGTGACACTGATCAAGATGCATTGTACACAAATACTGACAGATTGAATTAAGATCCCATTGTACAACTATTTAAAGATAATGAAAATATAAAAAATGGATAGAGTAATATTTTCATGGTATGGTTTTAATATGTCTTCAAATATTACCAAGGGAATTATGGCAACTCATATTTTATGTAAGAAATAATGATTAGTTAAGAAATAATGATTAGTTAATTTAGATATACTCATGTCTGTAGGAAAGATTTCTGCTAACTGGTAATTGCTACTGAGATTAAAGAGTGTATTACAAGACTTCAATAATGGAAGCACTGTGTGAATTTTTTGACAGTGTCTAATCTGCCCTGGAATAGATTTCTATGAGTAGGGCCTAGCATTCCAATTAAAGTAGATCATAGTTTTAAGCAAGTCAGAGACAGTCTATTCTAAGTAAAGACAAAACATATCTCAACTTCCAAGATGAATAAGGTAATCAGTTCCAACATGAAGCAAATTGTACCTTTAAAGACCCTAGGTTAGGGGCAATGATGTCTATTGTAGTAATTTGAGTCTCTTGACCATGTTAGGGTATGGAATAATGGAAATATTATGACACTTGATTCTAAAAGAAAAGAAAAGAAAAGATAAATAGCTCAGATTCCTTAACAGCACCATAGGGAGAGACCAAGAGGAATATAGTTCCTGTAAGATTATTCAGAAATAAGACTTCTGAAACACAGTTCAGAAATCGTTTTTAGTAAGTGGGATGTTGTAGATACAAACTTCTTTAAAAGTAAACATCATTTTTTTTATTAATTGAGAATGAAAACCCAAGCTATGAGCTTGTTCCTAGATAGTATCACTTGTTATAGCTTGAAGATGGAGTGTTCCCACAGTTTATGTGTTGAATACTAGGTTTCGGGCTGGTGGTGTTATTTTGGAAGGCAGTGGAAATTTTGAAGAGGTCCAACCTCACTGGAAGAAGTAGGCCACTAGAGGCATGACTTGGAAGAATATACCTGGTCTCCAGTTCCCTTCTAGTTCTACTTCCTATTTGCCATGAGGTGAACAGCATCCTCTTCTCCATGCTGGCTGACACATTGACTTTGTACCACAGTCTTTTACTATGCCATGATCTTTGCCTCACCATGGCACAACACAACCAAGAATCGTAGACTGAAATATGAAAATACATCGTACTTCCTTTAAATTGTCTACATCAGGCATTTGTCACAACAAGGAAAAAAGTACATAATATGTCCTGCTAAGAACTTGGCCAAGATGAACAACTTAGAAACCTGTGTTTTCTTCTACAGAATCCTCTGAAACAATCTAGGTGCTGAAAATAAACTGCTGGGCTTAGGCACATGTCACTTTTAAGAGAGGAATTTTAAGGTGCCTTTTACCTTTTAAGAGATGCTTTTAAGAGAGGAATTTTAAGGTGCCTTTTACCTGGCATCGGTTTTCTAGCTCCTGCCTCATTCTCCGCTCTGCTGCTAGTCGCAGCTCTTGCTGTTTATTCCGTGCTGAGGTTTCATATTGGCTCCTGGCTAATAGCTGCATCTCTTTCTGCAGGGTAGCCATTTCAGATACAAATTTCTGGATACTCAGTGACTGGAAAGGAACAGAGGAAGCCATTTGTGAATTTGTGTAAGCTTAAAATTAAGGGAATGGTGAACACAAGAATTTGTGGAAATCTACCTGCTCATAGTTTTTTTTCTGGTATTGATCCTTAATTATCTCCATTTGCCTCAATTCTGTTTCTATTTGCTGAAAGCAAGTGTAGAAGTAACAAAAGATCATTAGTTTGAAAATTGTTGTTCATTTACCTATAGGAAGCCGGACACAATCCCATTGAGACCCAAAGTGATCACTGGACTCCAATTTCCTGTCCAGCTCACTGACCCCAGAGGAGCAAGGTGAAGTACAGTCATTGCAGAAAAGACAAACGAGGAAGCCAAAATGTGACACTAGCAGCTAACGAGGAGTCTCCATTTACACAGTTGTCTCTTCTGTGAGACAGAGATAAGCCCACTTCCCCGGTATCTCTTTAATTCCCAGAGAATGCATGCTGTTCTGAGGGCTCTGAACCTCTCCCCCAGACACCCACTGCCTGGGCCCTCATAGCCCAGTAAGGAAGTAAGAGGAGTCTCAGGGTTTCTCACACACCTTCATTCTCTCTACATTCTGAGCATTATTTGCCTTTGCTGACAAATAGAGCTTTATTTGGGCCTTTTGACTCTTAAGTTTCTCCTTATTACTGTTCATTACTTTTTCCAGCTCTGAGACTTTCTGCCGCAGATCTCTGTTTGTCCGGGACACTTCCACTGATCTGAAATTGGCCTCTTCAAGTGCTTTCTTTACCTAGCACACAAAGGAAAAACAATGGAACATTCAATAACAAACGTTTGTTTAGTTTTCCCCCTACATTTTGCTGTCTTTCAATTACATATCTGTCTACCTACCTGTTTTTGGGTAGTACTGGGCTTTGAACTTGGCCTTGTGCTTGCTAAGCAAGCACTTTGCTAACTGAGCCATGCCTCTGGCCCATTTTGCTTTTTAGTTCTATTTTTAGATAGATAGGGTCTGGGTTTTTGCCTGGGACTGGCTGAACTGAGATCTACCTATCTCACATTCAGGGATCATAGGCATAAACCATCATGACTAGCTTATTTGTGCAATGGAGTCTTGTTAACTTTTTGCCCTGGCTGGTCTTGAACTGCAATCTTCCTCATCTCTAAGTATCTGGGATTACAAGTATGGACTACTGTGCCTAGCTGGATCAATCTTCTTCTTTTTTTTTTTTAAAGTGACACAATAATGCTGGTATGAGCAGATGTATGGAATATTATCAAGTGATTTGCATAAATTTTAACAGTAAAGGACAAAATATATCTTAGAATAGATAAATGATGCATATGTATATTCATTATTTGTACTTTAAGAGCACAGCTTTGAAATAAAACAGACTTGAGTTCCAGATTCAGCTTTACCACTTACTTGCTGAGTAGTAGGCTGGGGTAACTAAGTTCCTCAAGTCTCAAGTTCATTAGCTATAAAATATGTATATAACCTACCATAAGATACACATTAAGGGGCTGGGAAGGTGGCTCAGTGGTAGAACGCTTGCCTTGCATGCATGAGGCCCTGGGTTCGATTCCTCAGCACCACATAAGCAGGAAAAAAAAGCCAGAAGTGGTGCTATGGCTCAAGTGGTAGCGTGCTAGGCTTGAGCTGAAGAGCTGAGAGACAGCGCCCAGGCCCAGAGTTCAGGCCCCACGACTGGACCCCCCCCACCCCCCGCAAGATACACATTAAAGGCAAATGAAAATATACAGAAAGAATATAGAGCCTGTTACACACTGCTCAGTGATTATTATCAAGCTATAAGCTTTTCTCTTGCTTTCTGACACTTGCAATCTCATATGTTGAGAAAAGAACATAAATTATATGGTGGCTTATACAAAAATTTTCCAGTTGTTGACTATTATTGCATATTTTTTTCAGTTCTGAAGTCTATCTTATTTAATGCAAAATTTCTTTTTTATTGCTAAAGTGATGTACAGAAGGGTTAAAGTTATATCAGTAAGGTAGTAAGTACATTTCTTGCATATATTTTTATAGTATTGCTTTTTGTTCCTAAAGAATTTAAAGTATTTGTCTCATGGAAAAATATCATAATGATTTCATAATGATTACTTACATAAATGTATAGATTTCCCTTCCTCTTAATGTTCCTTTTTTTTTTTTTTGGGTCCGGTCGTGGGGCCTGAACTCTGGGCCTGGGCGCTGTCCCTCAGCTCTTCAGTTCAAGGCTATTGCTCTACCACTTGAGCCACAACGCCACTTCCAGCTTTTTTTCTTTCTGCTTATGTGGTACTGAGAAATTGAACCCAGGGCCTCAGGCATGCAAGGCAAGCGCCTCTACCATTGAGCCACCTTCCCAGCCCTTAATGTTCCTTTAAATCAGTGTCTCTTGGCCTTTACAAAAGAAGAGGCATCTGAGAAGGGTGAAGTTATGCAGGGATTATTCTCAAGGATTGTAATGCTTAACATAAGAAGAATGTACTTGAGTCTCTGTACACACTTTTCTATCTGTCGAAATATGGAAATGTTATTTTAAAGGTATTTCTTCACTAGGCAAATAATCGTATGTCAGAAATGGTTTTCTTATAAAGAGTGCTTTCCAAACAGCACAAAGATGGCTTAGTTTTTTGGGGTAGGGGAGCGGAGAACAGAAGCCACTCTGAGGTCCTCTGTGATTGCCCTGCAGAGGTGCACATCCAGACGGACCCCTACCTCAGCAAGCTCCCGCTGTGACGCCTTCTTTGCAGTTTCTCTCTCCGTCTGGAACTGCTTTCTTAGAGCTTCTATGCGTTCTGCATGCACTTCTGCTTCCATTTTGGATTCCTCAGTCATCCGTTCTCTGTTTTGAAGAAGACATGATAAACCAGCTTTAGAAATTGAATTATGTCAGACTTGGGAGGGAATGTGTATGATTTGCAGAGCAGTAGATCAGCCATCAGTGGCCTCTGTTCCTTCCCTCTGAAATGTAATGGGATGCTCAAGTTATAATTTGGCTCTCTCTATACATCTCCACAGTAGACTAGTCCACTCCAACACAACAACTCTTATCTTCGTCAAAATGAATTCTAATCTGTAAATGTCTAAGATGATAATTCCACCTCAAAGTCAACAATGTCTGAAGTACAAGCTCACAAACTTGTTCTCTGTTTCTTGAAATTTTTACACAGATATGTATAATTTTAATTTGTATAACTTCATAGATCTCAGGTAAAGCATGATTCATCCTATGAGCACAAGTCATAATTTAAGCTATTATAAACAGTGAATTCTGAAGCAAATGCTTCAAGAGGACTTCTGAGTCTCACACCTCAGCTTTTGCTATATGCGACCTTTTCAGGTCAGAGGAAGGCGCTATATTTCGTGGTCAATGAAGAATCTTCAAGGTTCAGATGGGCTTACTAACCATCCAAGCATAACTACCAAACTTGACAGTGAAAGAAAGTGGTGCTATAGCTCAAGTGGTAGAATGCTCACTTTGAGCTGAAGAGCTGAGGGACAGCGCCCAGGCCCAGAGTTCAAACCCCACGACCGACAAAACAACAAAACAAAAAACCAAAACAAAACAAAAAACAAAGTTGACAGTTAAAAGGCTTTAAACAATTCAGCTAACCACCATTAGAAACAATATTGTTTTAAGTGGTGCTGAGAAATCATCATAATGTAAAATTAGCACAGATTACAGACATGAAAAGTGGTATGTAATATCTTATCACTTGATATTTCATCAATATGAATACTAATAGACAAGAATGCAGATCTATATGAACATTACATTTCCCTTAGGTATAAATTTTCCTGGAATTGTATTTAGCTAGACCCACCATGTAGCTTGCTGAATATGGGTTTAATATAACAAATTTCAGTTCAAAATAGAAAATAATTACCAGATGCTGGTAACTCATGGATATAATCCCAGCTACATGGGGGTGGAGCAGGATATTGGGAAATCAAAATTTGAGGCCAGGCCAAAAGTTCACAAGACTCCTTTCTCAACAAACAGTTGACATATTGGCATACATCCACCATCCCAGATATGTAGTTGAGATCAGAAGGAGCAGGGTTTGGGGCAGTCTAGGAAAGAGGATTCACAAGATTCCATCTCAATCAAAGCTGGGAATAGTGGTAGGTGCCTATCATTCCACCTATTGTGTGAAGCATAAACAGGGGTTGTGGTTCAGGCTTACTGTGGCAAAAAGTCAGACCCTATCACAAGAATAACCAGGGCAAAAGGAGCTGGAAGAATGGCTGAAGAGGTAGAATAACGCCTGCCTAGAAAGTGTGAAACTTTGATTAAAAAACCCTTTACCATAAAAAGGGAGAAAAATGGCTTCATATCTGCTTAGATGGAGTCATCCCAATCCTGATGGGTTAGCCCTTTCCGGACTGCTATTATTCATTGTCCAAATCATACTTTTATTTCTATTATTATTACTATTGTTTTAATATTATTGTGTATCATATTATATAATAAGTTTTACTATGTAGCCCAGGCTGGCCTTAAACAATTTTCCTGCCTGTACCTCCCAAGTGCTGAGATTATAGGTGCTCACCATCATGCTTGACTCAAATCATGCTTGTAAAGGATGCATTAAGTTTGGCAGAAACACAAATGTCCCTTCCAATCAATACCCTTTAAATTTGGTTTACTCTTCTCTGAAGTGGAGCGCTGCCCCAGGCAGTTATTATCTGCTGCCTATCAGCTGTGCTGGCTCCTCATCATGGTTTGGCTGGAAGTTCTAGCTCAATTAGGAGAAAATGGTTTGACTGGCCCATGTGAGTGAGCTGGACTTACTCCTTCAGATGCTCTTCCCCAGTGTCATGTGACTGTACTGCTCCTACCTGAAGGCTTCCAAATTCTTCCTCTCAATTTCTTTGTTTTCCAGTTTTTCTTGCATTTGATCTAGCTTAGTTTGCAGATGACTGTTTGTCTGGAGAGCTTGTTCCAGACTCAGGGCGAGTTTTCTGTTGTCTTCTCTAGTTATATCTAGAGATTTTTGAAGAGGTTCCATCTAAAAGAGAAAAGAGTGCCTTTAATTCTACAATAACAGATGCAATAAATATACAGCACTGTCTTTACTCCTCACACTGCATCTTCAAATACCGTTGAGATAATTAGAACCATAAAAAATGTTCCAGTTATGGGAAATATATGTAACAACTCATTACAGTATTGCTTAGGAGACTCTTAGAAGGCAATAAGAAGAGTATGCTCCACTGGCAACCAGAGAGCATGAGAAAATAGAGCCAGTTTTATCTTTTTTTTTTGGTTGGTCGTGGGGCCTGAACTCTGGGCCTGGCCGCTGTCCCTCAGCTCTTCAGCTCAAGGCTAGCACTCTACCACTTGAGCCACAGCGCCACTTCCAGCTTTTTCTGATTATGTGGTACTGAGGAATCGAACCCAGGGTCTCATGTTTGCAAGGCAAGCACTCAACCACTGAGCCACCTTCCCAGCCCCAGTTTTATCTTAACTAAAAGAAATTATAACTAAATTCCTTGTCTTGATCCTTTCACCTTCTAGTCTCATTCTCTAGGGAACATATAAAACCAGGATCTCTTCTTGCATATTCTTCCAAAGAAAGCTTACTAATCAAATATCTATGTATATATTATATGAATACATATGTGTAGATACATACCATGTATCTACACATGTATGTATGTGTCTTGATTCATAGTGGGATCATTCTAGCTACTTCTGAGATTATAAAATTATTTTCCAAGTGTTTTGACTTTGGAAATATTTATTCATTAATAAATGAAAAGAACGTGGGCCACATAAAACAAGGAGAATTATCTATAATTATGGTCCTGGTTTGATAATGATTCACTGTAAGTCCATTTTTTATTTAGAAATGTCACAGTTTGAATTCAGACTTAAATGGAAAAGAAATTCACATGATTGTTCAAATTTAGTTTTCTAAAATAATAATGCCCTAAAAAAATTGCAACCAATCAATGTTATGATCAATAAACACCTGGCTTCTACCTCACTGCTGTATTCAGCTTCCACAACAAGCATCCTGGCCTGCCACTGGTCCACTTCAGCCTCCAGCTTCTGAACCCTGTGTTGATTTAGAGCTCTGGAATAGAAACCACAAGAAGAATGACTATGTAAGAGAAGCATCTAGGAATGTCAGGACACTCTTCCAGGAAGTCAATAAGCATTTTCTACAGTAGCCACAAATGCTCAAAATATCTGAGAGTTGGTAGATGACAACTACAGCATCATCTTCAGGTGAAGAAACTTAAATTCTGAGGAAATAACTGTTCCATCTATGATTCAATTTGGCTTAATACATTAGGCTATCAGTACATGTTTCTAATAAATTGTAGATTGGCAGTATCACACTATACATAGCAATGTCAAGAAAAATCACTTCTGTAAGGACTAGCTTGCTGTTGCTACTTAGAAATTTACATTGACAAGTAAACAATATTTATTACTATCCCTTAACACTTTTAAAATCCCAAATATGTAAACATAAAGATAAGTACAATGAAGAAAACAGGATTTACTTATTTTAACAGAGTATTTACACTACTAATACACATAATATATTTTAGAGGCTCTATTGACTCATATCATGTTTTTAAGCTAAAAGGGAAATTCATGAAATTTTTGAAGTATTCAAAGGAATTTATTTATAAAACATGGCAAGAAATAGTTCTCAGAAAGACTAGCCTAAAATAATTATATATCTTGAACAGAATAGTAATAGATTAATAATCAACTCAAGCTGAGGGTTGATGGTTCACGTCTGTAATCCTAGTTATTCAGGAGGCTGAGTTCTGAGGATCGTGGTTTGAAGTCAGCCCAGTCAAGAAGTCCATGAGACTCTTATCTCCAATAAATTACTATAAAAGTTGGTGAAGTGGAGCTGTGGCTCAAGTAGTAGAGTATTAGCCTTGAGCAAAAAGAACTCAGGAACAGCATTCAGGCCATGAGGACCAGCACCCAAAAACAAACAAACAAACAAACAAAATTAACTCAAACTATAGGCATGTTTGTGTAATACTGGGGACTGAACTCAAGTCTTATGCTTCCTACCAATTGCTCTCCTACTCAAGCAACCCCGCTTTCTGTTTATGTTTATTTAGGTAGTACTAGGGATTCATATTCAAGGCCTTTTGCTTGCTAGGCAAGCAGTCTACCAATTAAGCTACACCCTTGGTCCCTTTTCTTTTCTGTTCTTTTCTTTGTTTCTTTTCTTTTTCTATCTTTTCTTGGTAATGAGGCTTGAAATCTGGGCCTAGGCACTATCCCTCAGCTCTTTAGCTCAAGGCAAGTGCTCTACCACTTGAGCCACAGTGCCACTTCCGGTTTTCTGGTGGTTAATATAAGAGTCTCATGGACTTTCCTACCTAGGCTGGCTTTGAACCGTGATCCTCATATCTCAGCCTCCTGAGTAGCTAGGATTGCAGGTGTGAGCCACCAGCGCCTGGCTCCTTGGTCCCTTTTTGCTCTGGTTATTTGTGTAATAGGTTCTCATAGGTATATGCCTAGGTTGGTCCAGACCTCAATTTCCTACTTAGGCTTCCTATGCAGCTGTGAAAACACTGATGCCACATCTGGCTTTTTATTGGTTGAGGTGAGGTCTTGTGTCCTTTTTGTGAACATTTTCATAGCATCTCAGGACTTCCTGATCTCCCACTCCTTACTAGGGAGGGCTACAAGTGTGAGCCACTATGCTTAGGATTTTTCAGGTAGGGTCTCTGCATTTCTCTGGCATTTAAATCTTGGACTGTAATCCTCTAATCTTAACCTCCTAAGGAGCTGGAATGACAGTCATAGGCCACTATGCCTGGCTTGTTTTTGAGATAGGGTCTTGGTAACTTTGCCCAGGCTGGTCTTCAATGAACTCCTTCTGTCTCCTATAGCTGGGGATTACAGGTATATGCCACCATGCCTGGTCTCCTCTTCCTCCTTGCTCCTGGACAGTCCTGGTTGGTGCTAGAAATCAAATCCAGGATCTCTCACATAAACTTGAAGGTATATTCTTTTTTTTAAGTGGGACTTTCCCATTTCTCAGTTTGTTTTTTTTTTTTAAACTATTTTATTGATGTGATACAGAGGAATCGAACCCAGTGTGTCATGCATGCTAGATAAACGTTCTACCACTAAGCCACATTCTCAGCTCAGGAATATTCTTTTTCATACAACTACAAAAAAAAGGAAATCTTGAATTTTTACAAACCATTTGTGACCACAGTTTCCTCTAAGATGCTAGTTCTCTAACCACCATTTTAGTAGTTTTTCCATAAGGGAAGTGACATAAAAGTGACTCTATTTCATCCTTAGAAAAACAGTCACAGGTACCTTTCCTTCTTGAGGCCTGCGATCTCGGAATCCCGCCGCCCCAGCTCTATCTGGACTTTCTCCAGAGCTCCTTGCATCTTGCTGTGAGAAGCCAGAACGTTTTCCAGCATGATGGTGACTTTGCAATTATCTTCTTTAGCCTCTGCCAACTGCCGCTGAAAGTTTCCTACCTGAAACACAGTGAAACAAGTCCAAGTTCTCTGATGCTTTCTTGCTACTCTTTGGGGTTCCCTTACTCCTGGGAAAGAGTTTGGAAAGCAGTTGAGGTAGAAAGAGGAATAGTTACAGTTTTTCTTAAATTACTGTGACTTGGAGAAAAAGAAAAGCAGGCCCTAGATCCTGTGGAAAACGTGGCAGCTTCCCAACTTTGTCACCACACACACACACACACACACACACATAAAACACACACACACACACACACACACACACACACAAAACACACACACACACACACACAAAACACACACACTGGAAGCACTGGGGCCAACAGTTCTTAGGCTCCAGGCTGATGTGCTCTGCTGGCTTCCTGATGGGGTCAGAAGAGAACTCATCTGAAATTATCCAAAGATTAAAAAATTAGACAAGGAGAACATGGGAGCTTCTGAAGAAGGTTGCAACTCATGCACTCTTCAAAGGAGCAAAAGTTAACATTTACTCTCAAAAAGTTTGAGATATAGATGAATGAACTGATAGGGGAAAATATGGTTTATAAAGAATAGACATTACTCTAGCTAGGCGCCAGTGGCTTACACCTGTAATCCTAGCTGCTCAGGAGGCTGAGATCTGAGGATCGCGGTTCAAAGCCAGCCTGGTTAGGAAAGACCGTGAGACTCCTATCTCTAATAAACCTCTAGAAAACCGGAAGTGGCACTGTAGCTCAAGTGGTAGATCACTGGACTTGAGCCAAAGAGCTGAGGGGCAGTGCCCAAGCCCAGAGTTCAAGCCCCATGACCAACAACAACAACAAAAAATAGACATTACTCATCCATAAAAATAATGGAATTCAGGCTGGCAGTGTGGCTTAGTGCTTGCCTTGCATGCATGAAGCCCTAGGTTCAATTCCTCAGTACTACATAAACAGAAAAAGCCTAAAGTGGCACTGTGGCTCTAGTGGAGAGTGCTAGTCTTGAGCAAAAGAAGGTCAGGGAAAGTGCCCAAGCCCTGAGTTTAAGCCCCAGGACTGATTAAAAAAAAAAAAATCAACAAAAACTAAATTCTGCCATTTGTAGCAATATGTATGTAATAGTATATTATGTTAACTAAAATATAAACTAAGTCAAGCATACAAAGACAAATGTTCAAATATTGGGCTAAGTGTGTTAGTACATGCCTATAATTCCAGCTACTCAGGAGTTAGAGATGGGAAGGATCATGGTTTGAGGCCAGCCTGGGCAAAAGGCTCACACCTCAACAAGCAAGCCAAGCATGGTGATCCACACCTGTAACCTAAGCTACATGGGAGGTATAGGTAGGAAGATTGGAGTCCAAGGTTGACCTAAGCAAAAAGCAGAAGAGTGCATCTGAAAAACGCTAAGGCAAAAAAGGGCTGCATGTATGGCTCAAGTAGTACAGGGTTTTCTTAGCAAATATAAAGTCTTGAGTTCAAACTTCAGTACAAGACAAGTATTACATGTTCTCACTTCTATGTGGAAGCTAAAGAGTTGATTTCATGGAAGTAGAGAATAGTGGCTGCCAAAGCCTGGGAAGAGGGGAACGGATGGATATGAGATGGTTGTAAGGACAGGCTCCTGGTGAGTAGGAGCACCCTGTTCTGTTCTATGTGCAGGTAGTACACTTTCAAATGTTTCCAACACAAAGAAAGATAAATGCTAGAGGGGATAGATATCTGATCATTACTGACTGTATAAATATACTGAACTGTCATACAGTACCCAGTAAATATGCAAAATCACAATGTATCAATTGAAAATATAAATGCATTTAAAAAGTTTGGGATATGACTTATATTCTCACTGAGTACACATCAAAGAAGTGGAGTCACCTTTTAAAATAATCTTTTGATACCAAAATCTTAGGCTCTGTTTTTTTTAAATCAAACTAAAATATTTATCTATATAAACTCTTTTAATTCCTTTTCCAGATTGTTCTGCATAATCTATCCTTAACTCAATTTTGTATACTTCAGAATATTGTTGCTTTGACAATTCGGGATCAAATAAATTAAAAAATTCAAATAAGACAGCAACAACAAAAGAAGTGTGAAGGAGAAATCATTATGATACTGTTATACCATAACTAATAAAACACAACCATGCAAAAGACAAGCATGGTGGCATATGCCTACAATTCCATCTTGGAGTTGTGTTGGGGAATGAAGTAAAATAACTTAGAAGATAGCCTGAATTTCAAAACTAGACTCTGTCATAAAAGCCAAGAGAAAACCAAATCAGCCAACCAGTCAACCAAATAACCAAGCAAAAATAACCCAAAAGAATTCTGAAGGGTAGTATTACCAGGGACATGTGAGTTTTGCTTTTTTTTTTTTGTCAGTCGTGGGGCCTGAACTCTGGGCCTGCGCGCTGTCCTTCAGCTCTTCGGCTCAAGGCTAGTGCTCTACCAATTGAGCAACAGTCCAGTTCTGGCTTTTTCTGCTTATGTGGTGCTGAGGAATGGAACCCAGGGCCTTATACATGCAAGGCAAGCACTCTACCACTGAGCCACCTTTCCAGCCCATGGGTTTTACTTTTTATATATAATTTTCAAATATAAAAAATAGTGTAAGTTGTTTTCTTTTGGTCTACTTAAAGCATCAAAAGAAAAAAAAACAAATACAAACATTGAGAGTTATATAATGTGATCTTTAGGGGAAGTATTTTAAAATCATTCTAGAGAAGAAATCCTCTGAATAGCCCTTACTCCTTTTTTCTACTAGAAACAAGAAGTTAAGGAATATGGCTGTGGCTGCCTTCAAAAAGGAGGGTGACCTGCCTTTTTGCTTTCCCTGTCCTCCAACATATCCAGTTCCTCTTTCAACTTCTGACTTTCCTTCAAGGCCGCATCACGACTGTTCACTGCTTGTGACAGATCCTGGTCGGTTTTTTCAAGAAGTAATTTCACCTTAAGTGCAGAAAAAGAAACAACACATTACTTCCCAAAACACAATAAATTGGGGACAGCAATTTAAAAACTATACTTGATTAATTAAATATTTATACACTACTCTCAGTGGATTACCAAGTAATAAAAAATACCTGTCAATAAAAAAAATGTGAAAATCTAATATGTCAGTCAATCTCCATAAAAACAGGTATATCATAAGACAGTAAGGTTGACATGTCATATGAGCGGAGAAACATTATTATGGAACTAGCTTGCTTCCTTTTGAATGAATAAATTGATGGAATAAAAGCCAAGATGAGTTAAAATCAATTGTTATTTATAAAACAGTACTATAGCAGAATAAATTCTATAGAAATATTATACTTTATACCCTTAAAGCACTTTAGTAGATGCACACAATCATTTGAGACAATCACACTACATAAAATACTATTCATTTTATAAACTTTTATCTCAAAATAATTGTAGGCTCACAGAATCTCCTGTTGTACAATGTCAAAACCTGGAAATTGAATTTGGCATGTGATTTATTTACTTAGATTACAGAATTTATTCAGACTTCACTGTTTTTCAAATCTTCCACCACCCATGTGTGTGTGGCATATGTGCACACAGAGACCCCACGTTCCTATGACCTGCACTGTGTCAAGATGTAGAAGGGTTCCCTCACTGCCTATTTCCCTTTGTTACCTCTGATCTACTGCCCTCCAAAGCTCATCCACCCCCAGCAATCACTAATCTGTTCTCTATCTCTAGTTCTGTCCTGTCAAAATGTTAAATGTTTTAAGGACAAAATTTAAAAGATAAAATACTCATATTATCCTTTCTCTAAACAGTTTTACAGATATATAACTGACACACAATAAACTACAAATTCATAAAGTGGGATGAGCGCGCGCTCTCTCTCTCTCTCTCTATATATATATGTCAAGTCCTTGAAACCACTGTAAAGATAGAGAACATTACTAGTATTCCCAAAGTTTCTTCTACCCATTCAGTTCCTTCCTCAAAAGCACTTTTTCTTACACCTGCAATCTCATCTGCTTCATTTCAGCTATTGTGGGAAGATTAGGCAAAAACTTGATGAAATCTCCATCTCAACCAATAAAAAAAAAACCTTGGCATAGTTGCCTGCACCTGTCATCCTAGCTATGCAGGAAGCACAATCAGGAGGATTTCAGCCCAGGCCAGCCTGGACATATTTGGAAAAAATAAAGCAGAAAGGGCTGGCAGTGAGGCTTCAGTGGTACAGTGTCTGCCTAGCAAGTCCAAGGCAATGAGTTCAAAGCTCTAGTACTATTAAAATGAATGTTGCAAGTTTATTATGACTTATTTTAGAGATGTCCTATACATATAAAAGTAAATTCATATATACTCTTTATCTACCTTTTGTTTGTACACAAATAGTAAAATACTATATACATGTATATATATACACAATGTATATCATAAACTTTCTGAACTTTGATTGCTTAAGCCTAATAATACACATCTCTTAAATTTCTATTGTAATTGTGATTTATTTCACCAGTCTCTTTCTGAGAGTCTTCTGGAAGTCTCTTACTGACAATCTTTTGCAATTAAGCAATACTTCAGAAAGTATCAATGTAGACATATTTGCAATTTGTTATAGCTTCACGTTAAAAATCCTAGAAATAAAATCATGGGGTAAAACTTTTGACAAGTCTTAACAAATAGTTCTCAATAGGAAGTTGTATCATTTTACAACAGCCAACAGGCACAAAGTATGTCTTTTCCTCATATCTTTTTCAGTGTATTTATATTTCTTTCACTTGCAATATTTAAAATACTTCAAGCATGTAATCTCAGCTCTGTGGGAGGTGGAAATTATGGGATCTAGGCCAGCCTCGGCAAAATAAGAAGTTTGTGAGATTCTACCTCAATCAAAGGCTGGGCACAAGGCACATGCCTGTTACCCCAGCTTACTTGAGGGAAACCAATATAGAGTTCTATATCTGTCATCTCCAGAGACATAGGGAAACACAAGTAGGAGGATCATAGCTAGGCTGGTCCAGGTATAAAGGTAGACCCTACTTGGAAAATAATGCAAAAAGAGGCTGGAGTGGTGGCTCAAGTGGTAGAATGCCTTGCAAGCATGTGGTCCTGAATTCAAACCCAAGAACTATCCAGAACAAATCAACAAAAACTTCAACTTTTTCTGTAAGAATCCAAGAGGGCAAATTAAGTCAACTTACAGGTTTTGAAAAATCTCCTGAATTTTGTTCTAGAAAAGTATACAGGGACACACACAATTTTTTAAAATTTTTGCAAGAAAAAAAAATGTTAGCAGAGAGTATCTAAGTAGCAGTCCAGTTCAGAAGACAAGCTATATTTTATTTTGAAATACCAAGCAAAAATGTTCTAATTTATTTGTTCTTAAAAATGTTTTCCAGTTCAATTTTTTGGGATGACTTGAATTATCCTATTTCTATTTTAAAATCAAACTTTACCCAAGTATTTCAGTCCAATTGTAAAGATTAGATGTTTTTGAATTTTTATAAAACTAAAGTAAGATTTAAAAAGTTCACTTACTAGTAAGCCAAATTTTCTGTTAGAAAATTATGTTATAGTCATAACAATGGTGTTAATGTATATCATTAATTTTTCTTATTTATGAAGTAGCAAATTTCATTGATATTTGCCTCTTTGAGCATTACATGCTTCACTCTTAAGTTAGGAAAAAGGTATCATTTGTGTTTTTACTTACCGAATTGGGTATAAGAAAATTTGATGTCTCATCAGTTACTAAGGGTCTTGAGGCAAGAATGTCTATTTTGCCTTCTAGTCTCCCCTCCATGGTTTTAATGGCATTCAAGAGAGTCTTTAGAGAGATCCTAGAGTCTCCAATCTCCTGAGCGATTTTCATAGTAGGCAGGTTAGGTGCAAAAGTAACACGGCGTGTGGTGTTTGCAACAACACTGGGTAAACCAACTGCTGGAGCTCTTTCCTTCACATTACTTAGGTAAGACCTAGTGCTTTCAAGGGACTTTGAAGATGCAGGCCTCTCTGGAGATCTCCTTTTTCTTGGAGGCATCACCAATTCAAATAATAAGATCAACTAACCCTACAGTTAATTTTCAAGGAATACCTAACTTAATAGGAGAAATCTCAGAATGCTCTGTAAGAAGCCACAAATAAATAAATAAAGTTATATGTATATATTTTTGAAAGTGTGTTTTTTTTGTTTTCAGAACAAAGAGGTCAACTGTTAAGTACGACCTAGAAAAGATACAGGCCTTACAGCAGGTTTCCTGTGGGAGAACATCGCTGCTGTGTCCTTTACAACTTTGTGACCTCAGCACTCATCCACGGAGGCAGTTGCTCAGAACTCTCCGAGTATTCCACTTGAAGACAATACTCTTGTACCTCGGTTACTAGGGTACATACACACCAAGGTCATAGATACAGGTATTGCACATGCCTGTGCTACAGATTTTTACATGAATCCAAATTACCTAGACAGAAAATCTGGAATCACTGAAATGAATAATTTTCTTTCAGTAAGACATTTCTGGGTTAAGCCCTTCACTGAGTGTCTCATATATTTTGCTTGCTTAACTTTTGTCCCCTCTGTTTGTTGAAATGGTATGTGACTATGAAAGTTTCAGTTCCAACAGCCACCAAGCTGACAAGTAAGCACTTCACAACTAATACCTCTTTCAGGAGAGCATCTGTCTGTCTACCTTGTTGGCACTGAGTTCTGAGTCAGCCTCTAATTTGGAAAATAAGGACACTTATTCCTTATATCTACCGAAGCTTTTAAAACTCAAACTCAGAACCACTTCTGCTCTGAAAGCACTGTGTGGTTCTTAAAAAAATTTTTGAACAAAAATTTGTATATATATATATATTTTTTTTTTTTTTTCTTAGTCGTGGGGCCTGAACTCTGGGTCTGGGCACTGTGCCTTAGCTCTACAGCTCAAGGCTAGCACTCCACCACTGGAGCCATAGCATCACTTCTGGCTTTTTCTGCTTATGTGGTGCTCATGCATGCGTGGGCCTCATGGGCAAGCACTCTACCACTGAGCCACCTTCCCAGGCCAAATTTATATTTTTATATTAAATGATTTTAATTTTATTCTTATATATTGATTTCTAGACATTATACAGTTTCAAATATGGTTTTCCATGTCAATGGAAATTTTTTTCTGTATGTAGTCTTCTTTATATATATATGTATATTTAAATTCTTTTATTATGAAGATAGATGTTCTTTTCCTAGAAATAATGGCCAAGTGATGGTATTCACATTTGTAATCCTAGCTAATTCAGGAGGCTGAGATCTGAGGATTATGATTCAATGCCACCCTGGGAGGAAAATCTACTAGATACTCATCTCCAATTAACCACCAAAAAGCCAGAAATGGAGCTGTGGCTCCATTTCTAGCCATGACCAAAAATTTCAGGGATACTGCCCCAGTCCTGAGCTTAAGCCCTAGGACTACCCCACCCCCCAACAGTAGAAATAACAAGAAGATTAGATAAACTTGTCTTATTTAAATGAAGACTGTGAATTGAGATTATACACTTTAAGTTATAACTAAATCTGATATAGAAATTACATCACTATAAGAAACATAGAAGCTGGTACCAGTGGCTCACACCTGTAATCCTAGCTACTCAAGAGGCTGAGATTTGAGAATTAGAGTTCAAAGCCAGCCCAGGCAAGGAAAGTCCATGAGACTCTGATCTCCAATTAACCTCCAGAAAACCAGAAGTGGCACTGTGGCTCAAGTGGTAGAGTGCTTGCCTTGAGCTGAAGACTCAGGAACAGTGCCAGGCCCAGAGTTCACGCCCCACAACTGACAAACAAAAAACAAAAAAACAAAAACAGAAAACATAGAAAGTATATGGGTATAGTTGTACAAAAGAGTTTGAATTCCAGAAGTCAGTCATCAAAACTGACCAATTAGAAAGGAAATTAAAAAAAAAAACTAAAGCACTGTGTGCTTTTAATCTTAACAATGTTCCCTATAAGTGTTTATTGAAGCAACCTATTTTTGAAAGGCGTATCTTTCTATTCTATAGTAAAATTTGTGACTATTCCTAAATATTTAGTTGAATGTCTGCTTCAGGCATCTTTATTAATTCCTTTACAGCTTAGCAGAACTTTGTACATGGTAAGTATTTTAAAACTATGATGAATGATGCTCATCTCTCCAGGATTATATGGTTAAGGCAGGAAGAAAGGCATTGTGCAATTCTTAAAAACTAAAACAGTAGAACAGCAATCTTATGGCAATATGCTTTTGTAAACATTAATCACACCTGAGCATATTTGGTCTCTAGAGCCTTATTCAACATGCGAAGATGGTCATTCTGTAAACTGGTTTCAGTAAAACAATGTAGTTGCTCTTCTAGCTGTTTAACTTTTACCTATAGGGAAAACAGAAAATAAAATAAGCCTCATATATGCCAAAGTGTAGAAGGAGATGTCATGAATTTTGAAAAAATATACTGAAAACACTTGGAAAAACTTGCAAAAAAAAACCCCAATCCTGTTTTTCTAACTTTGCAAAGAACTCAAATCACAGCTAAAAAATTGGCTAGAGCTATGTATGTATGTATGTATGTATGAACGTATTTATTTACTTATTTTGGTACTCAGGCTGGAATCTAGGACCTTGCACCACGTGCTTTACCAGTTGAGTTACACTCCTAGCACTTCTGTGGTTTTGTTTCTGAACAGACATTCTCTTGCTTCCTCCTAGTAGCTGATATAACAGTCACGAACTATTACAACTAACTTAGTGGTGATGCTTTTTTTGGTGGTACTGGAATTTGAATTCAGGGTTCTACATTCATTAAGCAGGTGTTCTACCACTTGTTTCTTGGGCTGGCCTGGACACTAATCCTCATTTATGATTTCTGAGTAGAAGGAATGGCAGGTGTTTGCTACTATATTCAGTTCATTTATTGAGATGAGATCTTGCTATGTCCTAGATTGAAGCAATGTCCTGAGCAGCTTAGATTACAGACATACTCTACCAGGTCCAGTCTCCTGTCTCTCTCCATGCACTGTTAGAGGTTGAACTCATGAACTCATGGCCTTGCACTTGTCAGGACACTGTCAGGCAGAGGCTCTACCACCTGAGCCACACCTAACCCACTATTTGGTTTCTGTTGGTTATGAAAAAACCTAATGGACATGATTAATCAATATAAGTGAGATTTAATGGTTGATGCATTTCAATTTCAAATGCTACCTGTTGTTACAAAAAACTTTAAAAAATACAATTAGAATTATTAATGTTGAAGACATTCTTGTGTTTTACTAACAATTAGAAAAGTTGAATAAGCAGAATCTATGTTTGCTGTGTTTTATTTTAAAACTAATGGCTATAATATTTTTTTCTTTAAAGAAAATTATTGTGTGTGACAGACAAAATCATTTATACTCACAAATCTGAATTTCTATGTTTTCTTCTTATCTGTAGAAAACAAGCAATATCACTGAGCCCTATCCCTAAAACAGGAAAACTTTCACTCAAAAAGCAAGTGTTTTTATTTTTTAAAAAATACTGGTCTTCCTCCTATGGAATATCCCTGTTGTCACTGTATTTGATTTTGGTACCTTTGGGGAAGGGAAAGGGACAAACAAAATGCTGAAACAAGGACACAGGATGACCCATAGTATCAATGATACAAGACACTATGTTGGAAATGAACTTTACAACTTTGGGGAGGGGGGAGGAGTAGGAGAGAGAAGGGATAGTAGGAGAAAAACAAAGGAGGGGGTAACAATGTTCCCCAAGAAAGGTACTCATAAGCCAGGCACTGGTGGCTCATGCCTCTAATCCTAGCTATTCAGGAGGCTGAGATCTGAGGATCATGGTTCAAAGCCAGCCCAGTCAGGAAAGTCTGTGAGACTCTTCAATAAACCACTCAGAAAACCAGAAGTAGTGCTGTGGCTCAAGGGGTAGAGTGTTAGCCTTGAACTGAAGAGCTGAGAGACAGCGCCCCACACCCAGAGTTCAAGCCCCACGACCAAAAAAAAGAAAAGAAAAAAAAAGAAATGTACTCATTACCTTACTGATGTAACTGTACAGCATCCTTATAAGAAAATAAAATTTTTAAAAATGCTGTGGTTTGAACTGAGGGTCTCTTGATAGGCAGCTACTCTATCACAGGCTAGCCCTCAATTCAAATTTTTAAATTGATAAATGCTCATTTGTTTCTTCTCTCAATGTTTTTTCTTGTAGCCTAACTGTGACAGGCAAGCACATTTTTGGCCATAACTACTGGGCATTTTCAGAAACTGTTAAAATTTGATTACAAATGGTGAATTTATTTGAAAGGCTGCATGAAAGCTCATTGTGTCTCAGGAAATCTAGGTTCAATCAGCAGGGTCCTTTTTCCTTTTGTCAGTTTCTGTTACTTCTTTTCTATAATGTACAACATACAATATAAAATACATGCTGCTTCTTCCCAAAGCAGCAGTAAAAATTAATCATGGTTTTCAATAAAGATCAGAATTAAAATGATGTTTCATGAAGGGAAGCATTAATTCAACAATTACTCACATTCTAACTTAAACAACTGCTGCTAACCCATAAAACCCATGGGAAAATGGACTGCATTTGAATCTAAAAAGCAGGTTGGTATCTTTTCAAGTAAAGCAAAGTCCTAATTCCAAACTATATCCTCAGATAATCTGCTGTATTCGTCCAGCCTCTAAGTACACAGTAAAAAGAAGTGGAACTCATCAAATGGCATGTGATTATTCATAAAGCAAGTTGATTTTTCTATTGAGATTCTCATTTGGTAGATATTCCAAATCAGCAAGGTATGGTGGCTCAAGCCTGGAAATCCTAGATACCTGGGGGGCAGCCATTGGGATATTGGGCTCAAGTCTAGCCTGGGCAAAAAGAAACAGTTCATGAAACTCCATCTTGACCAATGGCTGGGCATGGTAGTATTCATTTTCCATCCTAGCAATGAGAAGCAGCACAAATAGGAAGACTGTAGTTCAGGACATCCTAGGCAATAAACCAAGACCCTACCTTGAAACCTCCTACACAAAACTCCTACACAAAAGGGGGTTTGTAGAGTGTCTCAATGGGTAGAGTGCCTGCCTAGCAAGCTTGAGTTCAAACCTTAGTACTGTTTCCCACTCCACCCTAAGAAATTCTACCTCTGGATATGCAAAATGGGCAAGAACACAGAAGGACAAGTCAGAAGCAAATATTACTGATTTTCAGAGGCCTGGTAGGTACTAGAGATACTAAATGCTATCTATCTCATATCTCCGAGCAGTTTCTATAACTAGCTTATCAGACAGTCTTGAGAATAGCAGTTATTTAGGTCAAGATCATATCTTCATATTCTTTCACACACAGAACACGTACATGCATGCAGCAATGTGTCCATATTCAATGTTATACATAGATAATTATACCTAAATGCACTATTGCTTATAGGGAAGATTAAAAAGTAGATGAGTAGTAGACCAATAGCTTTATCTTTTATTAGTTAGTAACAGGCTATTCCACAAGCATGGCTTAAATCACCTACCTTTCAAGTTACTTGCTGTTTTTGGTTTTCTATGCTATCCAATTCTAAGGTCTATCTCTTGAGCAGATCAGGAGAGGTTAATACTGACCTGTTTGCAAGCCTCTAGTGAGCTTACTTATCAAATCAGCTCCAGAGTCACCAAGTCTAAGAAGATTTTTTTCTTCTTATTCAGAGATTCCCTAAATAGCTAGTATGGCCTTGCACTCAAGATTCTCCTGCCTCAGCATCCCAAGTGCTGGAATTATAGACATTGCCACCATGACCAGATGAATCAGGTCTATTAACTTCTAGGATTCTAACCTATTTGCTTCTAGTCATAGGGATTTTTCTCTTTGTATTTTATGTGAAATTTTAAACAGAAAAAAGAATCTTCTTATTATGGACATTCAAATGCCTAAATTCTAAATTCTGTCTCTGACTTTTTTTTAACTTGAGTGGTACATATCCACTTATCATTCTCATACAGATTCATCAACCTAATATTTTCTAGGATGCATTTCAAAGTAATTGGAAAACATAACACCTCCTAGTGTTGGGTGTGTAAGTAGGCAAAGTCATGTCAGTGCAGGTTTTCTACTCTGTGCATACCACAGGACAAACAGATAGCAAAAGAACAGTGTCATCACATTCTCCCACATACTATTGTCTGCAAAGATAATTTTCAGTTACTTATTTTTATCTATGTGCTATAAAAATCATTTAAAAAAAGTGCATAGCAGCACTACATTCATGGACTGGTCATGCTTAAAATCATTATCACAAAGCTTCAAAAAGTAACAGATGCCAGGCACCAGTGGCTCGTGCCTGTAATCCTAGCTATTCAGGAGGTTGAGATATGAGGATCACAGTTCAGAGCCAGCCTGGGCAGGAAAGCCCGTGAAACCCTTATCTCCAATAAACCATCAGAAAACTGGAAGTGGCGTTGTGGTTCAAGTGGTAGAGCACTAGCCTTGAGATGAATTGCTGAGGGACAGCACCAAGACCCAGAGTTCAAGCCGCACGACTTACAAAACAAAACAAAGAGTAACAGAGTCACAGATTTAGGGTTCAGCATTGTATTATTGGTGTGCCACTTGGATATTAGGGGAATGATAAGCTATAAATTAGTAATGACAGAACTAGGTCCTTTTAAAATCTAACAATATTTAATTAATAACTAATACTTTCAAATGAGACACAATAAAATTATGGAGATAAATCTCATACCTGGAGTTTTCCTTTTTCATAGGCCAGTTTATTTTTACTCTCAGTAATTGTTCCCAAGATCTTTTCTACTTTCCGCTGGGCAAGCTGATAAAGGGAACACAGATATCTTCTTGGTAGAGGAAAGAATAACTATTTCCTCTAAAATAAGTATTACTATCTCTATTATTTTTTAGCAATAAGTTGAGTGATAGTTTGGGTCTGGAATGTTCCCCAAAGGTTCATGAGTTAAAGGCCACTGGATAATAATGGGAGGTAGTGGAGCCTTTAGGAAGTGGGATCTAGTGGAAGGAAGTTAAATCCTTTGGAGGGGATATTAGGGCCCCAGTCTCTTCCCTCTCTCTTTTTGCTTCCCAGCTACCATGACGTGAGTGGCTCCTCTGCCACATACAAATTACCTTGCCATAGGCCCCAAAGCAACGGTGAAAGTAACCAGACTGAAATCTCCAAAACTGAAAGCCAAAATAAATCTTTTTCCCTTTAAGTTGATTACATCAGGTATTTTATTACAGTAATGGAAAGCTAACACAAAGAGTAAGCACAAAAGGCTTTCCAAAAGGTACTTTTTTGCAGATCTGTGAATCCAGTCTAGTATCTTGCACATGCTAGGCAAGTGCTCTATCCACCAAACTACACCTAAAATCTAAAATTGTTTGAGCTTACCAGCTAGTGGGAACTATCAAAAAAAATAAAAATCCAGTGTGATATTGGAATCCTATATTTTATAAGCAGAATATCAGCCGGAGATTTTATTCAGAACATGACATGCGGCAAAGCCTTTAAGGAACAATATGTTGAATTTATTGTTTAACTTCAAGTCATTAAAACTCAATTGCATGGGAATTATATTTTTGTTTGGTACTACTATTTGGAAGTATATGTTTAAAACCCCTAAAAATAAGTGGGAAATACACATCATACAAGGGGAAATAGTCATTCAACTTGAGCTCATAATAGGAACCTTTCTACTTTTGCATCTTTCTTTCTGAGGTTCTTTGCATAGTTGCCTGTGGTAGTGGACTTAAAACATATCCACACTATAGACTAAAATTAAAACACTAAACCTAAAAATTAGGAAATGTAAAAGAGAAAAAAGAATAATTTTTATTCATGTGAACCTAATGCTAGCTTTTGTGAAAAGTAGGTGGCATTCAATATGGCAATACTTTCAGCCTGGCAAGATAAACTTGACCCTCATTTGCCTCATTCATTAAAATGCGTTTTAAAGCATTAAATGAGCCAGTGGCTCATGCCTGTAATCCTAGCTACTCAGGAGGCTGAGATCTGAGGATCATGAATTCAAAGCCAGCCTAAGCAGGAAAAGCTGTGAAACTCTACCTCCAATAAACTACCAGAAAACCGAAGTGGTGTTATGGCTCATGTGGTAGAGCTCTAGCCTGAACTGAAGAGCTGAGGGACAGCGCTCAGGCCCAGAGTTCAAACCCCCCCATTATCGGAAAAAAATTATTATTAAGTATTAGATAAGAGAGTGGAAGAAGGGTATTTGCTGTTCTTACATTATTTAGAGTGAAGGCAGAAGCAATAAATGGCTCAATTTCTAATCACTGTGATAATTATTCTGATCCGGATATGCACAGTAGGCTATGGAAACCCCACAGACAGGGAAGATCCCAAAATGCTGCAGGTCATGAGAGGTGAAGAACCTACTCAGATCACGGAGCAAATGGAGGTAGAAGCTGAAACCAGGTCTATATAAATTCAAGTCTATGGGCACTTTCTCAAACGTATACCTACAAAAATCAATGATGGATAATACTAGAAAGTACCACCTTATTCTTTATTAAGAATTTCAAGTTTTAACTTTCAAAGAACAAAAATGAATGGTCAGCATTGATTGACAACAGGTTTAAGGATACTGCAAAACTAAAAAATCAATCTTGACATCTTACTTGACATCAGACTCATTCCAGCCTGGCTTGGTCAGATAAGCTTCTAGGTGGAGACAGAACTGCAAACCAAAGTTGAGGGGAATTATAAGCAGATTTTAAGAGATCTGATGAGCAGGTTAGAATCAACTTTGACTAAAAATCACTGTCAAGACCTGTCAAAGTCACTGGTAGGATAAAATCATAGGTCTGCTCACTGACAGTCGGTTCAGAAAAGGCCTAGGGAGACAGAAATGGGGTCTTCCAGAGGCATCAGAATGAAACTATTAGATAAATTCAGCTGAAGCTTAGCCTATAAGCAAAGAACAAAGCTGTATCTTTAACCTTGAGATAAGGGAGGATTGGTCTGAAATCATAGCAGGACTTACAGCTAACTGATTCTGTCACACAAGCCCTGAGATCATAGCAGGACTTACAGCTAACTGATTCTGTCACACAAGCCCTGAGATCATTGCAGGACTTACAGCTAACTGATTCTGTCACACAAGCAGTGCTTACAAATCTCCTCTCTCCAGAATAGTCCAGATACTAAGACCTTAACACGTTAGATGTCTGCTACATGCTTTATATGCATTAACTTATTTGATCCTAAACAAGTTCTAATAATTATATTATCATCCTCATTTTGACAAATTAAGAAACTGAAGCTATGAGAGATTAAAGATCATACCAAATTCAACCAAAATTGAAGCCTAGAAAATATCATTCAAAAGCTGTGAGAATATAAGATTTAGATTTAGTCTTTGTAATTCTTCAGTTAGTTTAATTAACAGTTTACTACAGGGTTTGAAAGTTTAATCAACAGTTTACCACAGGATTTGAAAGAATTTAGCTTAGATTAAGAAAGGAACATCAAAGGGCCTCCCATGAAATTTTCAAAATTTATTCTCTTGTTATAAAACAATAATTCTTTTTCAAGTACTGCAACAAAAACACAGAAAGATCATTCGTTTCCTAAAACAATGATCATTTCTTTCAATTCCCTTCACTTGGATGTTTTTAGTTCTAATATTTATTTGTAATGCATGTCACATAGCTTTTAAAAATCTGACTTATTAATGATAGTCCAATGAGAGAACTAATTTCTTCTTTTATAATTTATGGAAGAGGAAATATTTTAGAACATTGGATATGTTTGTATGGAGTCACTTTGTAGCTAGTTTCTTTCTTTCTTTGGTCAGTTGTGGGGCTTGAATTCAGGGCCTGGGCACTATTCCTGAGCCTCTTGGTGTTGAAAGTTAGTGCTCTACCATTTGAGCCACAGTACCAATTCTGGTTTATGAGTGTCTTCTTAGAGATGAGTCTCATGGGGACTTTTCTGCCCAGGCTGGCTTTGAACTGCAGTCCTCAGATCTCAGCTTCCTGAGTAGCTTACAGGCATGAGCCACCAGCGCTGGGCTTTGTAATTAGTTTCTTAAATAATCTATTGTTCAAATTTTTGCAAGGATCTGTGCTATATTTATCCTGAGTAATTTGGGACTTATGATACACAAAGAAAACCTATCTCCTGACTTCTGATACAGGTTTCTATTTTTTCAAGCTCATTAATCATTACTTCCAACTTTAGACTGACCTTTTTATACCCACCCCATGGTAATCAGAAGTGGCTTGTTGAAATTCAAGGGAAGCCACTTGATCTGCCAGATACTTATTTTCTTCCACAAGAATATGCAGGTTTTGGTTTAATGCATTTAAATCTACCTTTTAAAAACAAAAAGAGAAAAGAAACTGTGAGATCCAAAAATGTGATTTATAAAATGAAAATTGTACAGTGGAAGGTAGCTCATGCAAAAGTTCTGCCTGTAAATGTAGGCATTTACAGATAGTTCTATGCTGTTCTAAATGATTTATTTTTATTTTCCATTTTTCAGCTAATCTTGTCTTTAGCAGGAGGGTTACAGCAAATAGTACAGTTCACCTTTATTAACAATTGAAGTCTTTCTGGTACTTGATATTTGCTTTAATTCAATATAGAAATTATCTTTCAATTTATGACACAGCAATAGGCTCCACAGATAAAATAATGTAGTTGAACTCTATCCCATACCATATACAAACTTAACTAAAATTCAAAGACCTATAGTTTTTATGTAAACCTACACATTTTTAAGAAAAAAATTAGGTGTTAATAGGAATTAACTGTATGACCTTGGGTTAGGCAATAGTTTCTCAATAGAATCGGCAACCAGAGATAAAACAGATAAGTAGATTTAAAATTTTTAAAGTTTTATGCATGAAAGGAAATTACAAGTGTAAAACAGCATCCCCAACATTGGAGTAAATAGCTATAGATCATCTATCTGATAAAAGTCTAGTACACCTATATAAAGAATTCTTCTCCCTCTATTACTTTCTTTTTTGGGGGGGGAGGGGATTCTGGTCGTGGGGCCTGATCTCTGGGCCTGGGTGCTGTCCCTCAGCTCTTCAGCTCAAGGCTAGTGCTCTACTACTTGAGCCACAGCGCCACTTCCGGGTTTTTTCTTATGTGGTGCTGAGGAATCGAACCCAGGGCTTTGAGCATGCAAGGCAAATGCTCTACCACTGAGCCACCTTCCCAACCCTCTTCTACCTCTATAATAAAAAGACAATCCTTTTTAAAATGGGCAAAATATCTGAATAGACATTTCTCAAAAGAGAATATACAAATGTCCATTAAGCATATAAAATGTTTAACATCATTAGACAAAGATACAACAAAAAAATACTCTAGGCAATATCACTAATGAACATAGTGATAGAAATTTACAATAAAATACTACCAAGAAAAAAGCCAAAAGCAAATAAAAAAGATAATGATCATGTAGAATTCATCTCAGTGATACAAGGATGGTTCAACATACACAAATCAATATGTGACATAACGCATCAACTTGAATGAAGAACAAAAAACTCTATGATTGTCTCAATAGATGCAGAAAAGCATCTATTGATAAGATTCAATATCTCTTTGCAAAAAACAGATCTCAAGAAATTAGATGTAGGAAGAATATAACTCAAGCAAGTACATATACAGCCTATTGTGAATTGCAGCAATATTCCCCATAGCCAAGATATAGAATCAGTCCAGATGATCACTCATTGATGGATGAGTGATCAAGAATATGTGGCATGTTATACACAATGGAATTTTATTCATCCACTAGAAAAATGATATTGTATCATTTATAAGGAAAAAATTAGAAAAATTATATTAAGCCAGACATAGAGAAACAAAGGTTGTATGATTTTGCTCATTTGTGGTAGATAGAATGTGCCTATAAATCCACAAGTAAATACATTGGGTGATATACAAATGGTTACAAATGAATTAACTGAAGTAAATGGATTCTATGGAAAGCTCAAATAGTGTAATTTTTTTTTAGAACAACCAAGTCAAAGCCCCCAAAAATCAGCACCAGCAAATAGGTACATGGAGTCAAGAGGAATTGGAATATATGAAGAGGGCTGGGAGAGAATGCAGTCAAGAAATCATGGTAGCCATGCCTGTAATCTTAGCTACTCAGGAGACGGAGCTGAGGATCATTGTTCAAAGCCAGCCAGGGCAGGAAAGTTTGTGAGACTTTTATCTCCAGTTAACATGGCCCTGTGGCTCAAGTGATAGAGCTCTTGGCTTGAGCTGAAGAGCTGAGGGGTACTCATAAACTGCATTGTTAAATAACATCTCCTTTGTACAACTACTTAAAAATAATAAAAATGGGATTACAGTTACAAACATAAGGTAATGAGTTGAACATTGTTACCACCTCCCTTGTTTTTTCCCATTTCCCCTTTTCCCATCCCCCATTCCTCCCCCCAAGTTGTAACGTTCATTTCCAAGATAGTGTCTTATGAGTATCACTGTTGCATTGGTTCACCCTTGACCTTTGTATCACCATTTTGTTGTTCCTCTTCCCTTCCCTAAATCAGATAAATGTATATAGCTATAAGACACAGGGTACTAAAATCAAAACAGTGACAATCGGGAATAAACCAAAGGAAAAAAAAGAAAAAGAAATAACTTCACACAGTACTTACAACAAAGAAAAAAACCCTTGTTCCATATCTTGGAGTTGATTTTCATATGTACATAGCTATTGAGCTATTGTCATCATTCTTATTTAAAATAGTATTGGAAGTCAGTAAGAAATTAGGCAAGAGAAAAAAGGGTCACTCAAACTGAAAAGAAAAATGTTATCCATGTTTTTAATGTAGAAAAACCTAAGTCATCAAAAAGCTGTTAGAACTGATGGATAAATCTAGTATAGTTGCAGAATACAAAATGAATATAAAAAGTACCACTTTTATACATAATTGATAAACTTCATGAAAAAGAAATCAAGAAAGAATAGCTGCAAGAAACAATTAGGGATAAATTTAAGGATGCAAAAGAGATCTCTTCGATGAAAATTAGAAAATACTGCTGATTTCTAAAATACACAAAAATATAGAAAGATGTCCCATGTTCATGAATTGGAGGAATTAATATTGCTAAAAAAAAGAACGTTATAGCCAAAGTAATATATAGAATCAATAAAATCCTCACTAAAATGCCAATGACTTTCCCTATAGAAACTGCAAAAATAATTCATATGGAATCCCAAAAGCTTTAAAATAGTCAAGCAACCTAAGAGAAAGAAAGATAAAAGAAGAAGCTGGGGGCATCATGATACCTGACTTTAAAACATACTGCAATATAGTAAACCAAACTAGAACTGACATGGCCTACAATCTAACATATAGATCAAGGGAACTAAATAACATATCCAGAAATCACTCTCCATATTAATTTTGACAAGGCATCAAAAACAAACAGCAGAGAAAGGACAGTATCATCAATAAATGGTCTTGACAAATAGAATCTACATAAGCAAAAAGAATGAGGCTGTATCTTTGCCTCTTACTATTGCAAAAATCCAATCAAAACAGACCAGAGACTTAAAATGTAAAATCTGAAATGGCAAAAGTATTGCAAAAAAATCCCAAACAAATGGGAATCACTTCAAGAGAAGTATTTATTTTGGATAGGACCCCAAAGACACAGGAAATATATAAAAATAGGCAAATGGTATTATATCTGTTCAGCAAAGGAAATAAAATTCAGAAAACTTATAGCTTATCTATCTATCTATGCACTAGCTAGCTATATGACTCCAAGAAAGATGAATCATATACCAAAGAGATAAATTCTGTGTGTGTATTTGTATGTGTTTGTGCAGTCTGAGAGTTTGAGCTCAGGGCCTAGGTGCTATCCCTGAGCTTTTTAGCTCAAGGCTAGTGCTCTACCACTTGAATCACAGCTTTCTTGTATTTTTTTTGGGGGGGGGAGGTTAGTTTATTGGAGATAAGAGTCTCACAGACTTTCCTTCCTAGGCTGGCTTTGAACTGTGATCTTCAGATCTCAACCTCTGGGTTGCTAGGATCACAGGTGGAAGTCATTGCTACCCAGCTGACATTCCATCTTTATTATAGCACTATCCACAGCAGCCAAGAAACAAAATAATCTATGTATCCATCAGATGATAAATGGATAAAGAAAACATGTATCCAGTGGAATATTATTCAAGATCAAAGTGAATAAACCTGTCATTCACAGCAGCATGAATGGAACTGGAAAGTCATATTGTTAAAGTGAAAGAAACTAGACACAGAAAAGACAAAGACTACATATTCTCACTCATTTGTGGAAACTGTCACTCTCATAGAAGAATGAAATGGATTCACAGCCACTACAACCTGGGAGAGGAAAAAGGGAGAAAGAAGAGAAAGAAGTTAAATAAGAGACACCAAAACACAGCTATAGAGGAGGAATGAGTTTTGATTTTCTAAAGCATGTGTAGGGTAACTATAGGTTAAAATAATCTAATGATTTATTTCAAAATGTCTAGAGATTTTCAACACAAGAGAATGATTAATATTTTAGATTCTAAGCTCGGGCCTATTAATCTAGCTACTCAGGAGACACATCTGGAAGATCATGGTTCAAGTCTAGTCTGGGCAGAAAAAAATGTGTTAGGCTCCATCTCCAAAATAACCAGCAAAGAGCCAAACTAGAGGTGTGGCTAAAGTGCTTTGGACATCAGTGAAGCAAGAAAGCCAAGTAAGCACAAGGCTCTGAGTTTAAACTCTTGCCCGCCACCAAAAAACCAAACAAACCAATGCTGAATAAAGAGATGGCATGCTTAATAACTTATTTAATCTTTATACACTGTACCCTTATTTAATCATTATGCACTATATACATGTATTAAATTACCAAAATGTAACCCATAAAATGTACAAATATTATGTTCCAGTTAATGAAAAAATGTTTAAAAAGAAAAGGATACCTTGAAGGCAAAGTGGCAACTTCCTGTAGGTATTAAGGAAACGGAGTTAACCATTTTTGAAGAGAACAGCAGTGTCAGCCATCCTCTCTTTGCCTTTTCCAGATGCATGAGCTCAGTCTCAGAGGACTTCCTGGCTAAACTGCTTAGTGAACACTAGGGCCAGAAGCTGGGATGACTCACTGGCAAACCCTGAATACTCAACAAGTAAAGGCCGTACTTGCTGCTGCAGTGAAGGGATGCTCTAAGAAGTCAGCTTCATAGCTCCTTTCCTTCCCTGCACATCGCGTTAGTGAACAGAATCTTGCATTTTCTCGTTAACATAAACTGATACAGTAGGCAGCAATCCAAGGAGAAACAAAACACAGTGAAATATTGAGAAATAAAATGTAGAATACCTTGTTGTTAGCTAATTCCTTTTCCAAATTGTATTTTTCTTGTGCTGTTTCTTTTTCTGTTTTATTAATCTGCCCAGGGGAGGGAGAAAAATGGGTCAGTTTTACAGGGGCTGACAGGCTTACTCTAGCACATACATCCTACATGTCAATACCTACACTGCAGAGATAGCAAATCCTCTCAGAAAAGGGGCCAAGCAGGAGTTTCTGAGGCAGAGCAGACTTCACAAATAGCCCTGCAATTAGAAAGATACGTCTGCATGTCAGGCTCTGCTGGTTCCCTCCTGACTAGGCAGACGGGGCTGTTCCCCCTTAACCTCCACTGTCCCATAATATTTCAGGGGAAATAAATTTAAATGTACTGAGCACTGGTGATTCACGCCTGTAAACCTAGATACTCAGGAGGCTGAGATCTGAGGACTGAAGTTTGAAGTCAGCCTGGACAGCAAAGTTTGGAAAAACTCAGCTACAATTAACCAGGTGGAAGTGGAGCTGTGGCTCAAATGGTAGAGGTTCCATCTTTGAGTAAAAAAACTAAGGGACAGAGCCTATATCCCAGTTCAAGCCCCAGAATAAACTCTCTCTCTCTCTCTCTCTCTCTCTCTCTCTCACACACACACACACACACACACACACACACACACTCACACTCTCTCTCTCTCTCTCTCTCTCTCTCTCTCTCTCTCTCTCTCTCTCTCTCTCTCAATCTGATCCTCGACCCCTCAACTAGCAGAAGGATGTGTGTATTATTGGGTAGCATATTCACAAATGCTGTAGAAGGATATTTGGTAGAGACTGGCATAGACCTTTTCACATATTGAAGCTACCTAGAAATTTCTTGACGGGGTAACTCAGACAAACTACATCTGGATTTTATTTCTCTTGTTCTTTAATCTTTGAATATAATCTTAAAACATAACCATCACATCATCATCAGAAGGTAGTGTAAATCTGCTTCTACCTACCTCTCTCTGAAATCTTTCCTTATCCTCTAGCAGAGACTTCTTCTCTTGCATTGATGCTTCAAGTTCGCTTCGCAATCTGGCAATTGTTGATTCTAGCAGCTCTTTCTGAGTATTTGCCTTTTTCTCAGCATCCCGTGCTTTCTGGATGCACTGGTTATGCTCAAGGATTAAATGGTCCCTGCAGGAATAGAACAATGACACATGACAAACAGATGAGAAGTGACTGAATGTCCTTATGGAATACAATTTTTGCCTAAGAGTGGTTAGGAAAATGTTCCTTGAGGTAAAACCTTTATCTTTGTGTCTGTCCCTGCAAATGCAGAATTAAATATTAAGTTGAAAAATACAAGTACCACTAGACACTATGCTGGAAATTAACTATACAAGTTGATGGGGTAGGAGGAGGAGGAAAACTGGGAGAAAACAAGGGAGAAGGTGACACTGTTCAAAAAGAAATTTACTCATTACCTGACTTATGAAACTGTGTCCCCTCTGTATATCACCTTTATAATAAAATTTTTAAAAATAAGTGCAAGAACAAAAGATGCACAGGAATTGTCCTACAGTAAACTTACAGATGTGTCTGGAGTTGGGCTTTCTCATTTAGAACAGTCTGCAGTTCACTTGTGATGCTGGCATGGGCTGCATCCCGCAGTAAGTTCTGTTCTTGAAATGTCTGTGCCATGTTCTGCTCTACCTGAGTGTGAGGGTTGATAATGAGAACCGAGAAGACATTTGATAGGCTAACAAGATAACAAAATACAAGTGTTTTTTTCCATAGATAATGTCCCTTAAAAAAACTTATTTTGCCCAGCACCGGTAGCTCATGCCTGTAATCCTAGCTACTTAGGAGGCTGAGAGCTGAAGATTGTGGTTCGAAGCCAGCACAGGCAGAAAAGTCCCCGTGAGACTTTTATCTCCAATTAAAAACTCAAAAACCAGAAGTGTGGCTGTGGTTCAAAGTGGTAGAGCTGTAGCCTTGTAAAAGAGCTCAAGGACAGCACCCAGATCCTAGATATTGTCTTAGACTATATTCAGATACTGTTGCAGTAGTAAAACTGTAACTGTTTCACACAATTTACTTTCTCTGCCTCACCATTTTGGAGCCATTAAAACAGAACATTTTTATATATACCCATTTCTACTATAATTCACAAAGTTTCTGCAAACCCTGCATTGAGAATTACCTTTGTAAATACATTTTAGTTAACTTCTCTAAACTTTATTGTTCTTACAGGTAAAATAAGTATAATCAGTAACCTTTCATGGAGCAGATGATAAGAAAACATAGAATCCTAGGTAAATGCTAACACACACATGGTACATGAACACACACAGAGGAGCTATTATTATGATAATCTGTTTAGTGTTGATGTAACAAAACTTGAAAAGAAAAAATTCTCCTTTCTAGTCAGGACAATCAAGCTCCTACATGAAAGTTTTAATATAAATAGAATTTCAAATAGTTGGAGATAAAGTGCTTTCTTAAGAGATTGGAGTAAGCAAATTTCAAAGTAGAGGAAAATATACATACTTTAGAGTCAGCTGTAAGTAGACTCTGTAAATATAACAATGGGAGAGGTAATTACTTTCCTAAAGTAATGATATTTGAGAAAAGGCATTAAAATACAATAAATGTAAGGCCAAATCACTCCTCTGATGTGAAAGTGAAAGATTACCAAGAAATAACTCAGTGAAACTTTGGGATTCATTGGTAAAACATTTTACTAATCCAGTTGGCCATGTACATTTTCTCAGTCAGGCTGGCTTCACATTGCCTCTGTCAGAAGTTCACTAGCATCAGGTGAATACCTGCATAATAGCTTGATGGTCAGCAGTAACCCTGGCATTTTCCATCTTTACAGACTGAAGTATGCTGCTCAGCTCTAAACATTTTCTACTCAGTTGGTCATTCAAAACCTGAGACAACAAATATATATTTATCAAGTCAAAAGTCTTTGGGAATTATTTATGTATCATTATTTTATGCCCATAATTTAGTTGATTTATCCCCAATTAATATTTTACAAAATACCTTCAAATGTTTGAAACAAGATTTATTGATTTAGTGGAGTAATTGAGGCTTATGGATTTCTACTGACCTGTTTGTCACAATTCTGAACCCAAATCATTTAGGTCCAAGACCTGTGTTGGATGGAATATTCTGTATAGGTGCCTAGTTAATATTGCAGAAAGTGATTTCCATAGTTACATCATGTGCCTTCAGAAATATTTGGCTGATAACAGAAAAAAACCCAAGTTGTTCCACCACCAATGATAATATTTATAAAAGCAAAATATAGGTGAGTTTACCATCATACTATTAATCCTTCAGAATGAGTAATAACCTTTGGGCTACAAATCTGTCATTTAGTAACTTTTGATATTCTGGAATTTGCTTCTTGTGAAAAATATTCACCTTCGTAATTGTTTTTGCATGGTACATTTGTCAAGCAGCTTATGTTTTAATAAACAAGTTTTTCAAGAATAAAGACACATCACTCTAAAGGAACAACAGAAAAAATAATGAGAAGGAAAATGAATAATCTGGTAAGTCTATAAGTGTGATAGAATAGCTATGAACACAGTCAGGGTTTTGGGGGAGTCAGATTATTGAACTCAAAGTCCCAACTCTGCCACTTGTTAGCTATAAAACCTTTGTGTATATCAGTTTTATTATCTTTTAAATGAAAACAATGGTGTCTATTCCATAGGACAATTACAAAGATTACAATTTGTTAGTAATTGGAAGTGCTTAAAATTATGCCTAGAATGTGGAATGGGTTCAGTAAAAATGTCAACTATTAGAATAGGTAGAGTGGTAAGAGTCATAGTTATCGTTTTATAATAGGAGACACTTATTGTCGCATTTATTATAAACAAGGCACAGAAACACCATAATCCTAATGTAATTAAATTGTAGAAACAGAGAAGTTATTTTTAGTAATAAACTCTATCTCACTGAACTCTCTGATAATTAATTTGTTTGCCTGCATATTTGGTGAATTTTTTCAATACTTATCCATATATTAATATAAAGTATCAATTAAGTTGACAGGACCGTGGTTAAATCTAAAGACAATGGTTATATCCACCTCCAAAATGTAGCAACCATTAAGTTCCTACTGTACTATTTGCTGCTAAAGATATAAAGTATAAGACAAGAGACTTTGCCATTTAATGGCCAAAGTTCATGGTGAAAGGTAGTGATTTATATATTCAATTACTACACAAGAAAGCAAACAAAGGCAAAGTATAACCAGGTATGCAATTTAGTGACAATTCTTGTACACTACTGTGTCACAGGAATTGGGAGAATGATCAGAACTGTGCTTAATTTATAATAATGCTTCAGAGGTAAAGAAGATCTTATGGAAATAAAAACTGAAAGAGAGTTCCGGGAAGATGGCGGAGGAGAAGCTGGAATCTGAACAAGCTCTTGCATAGAAAGCAGTTTCAGAGTTCCAGTGAACAGTCCCAAGCCAGAGAATCACACCAAGTGTGCCATCACAGGACAGAGAGTTAGTCAAGAGAGGGGAAGCCAAGCAGACACATCTGATCGCTTGCCAGCAGCTGCCGCTGTGGCGGCAGGGTCGCGGTGGCGACCACCGCCGCGGGGTCATACCTGAGACACAGTCCGGGACTAAGGAGCCAGACGCAGCGGACGAGCGGATTCTACTCAACCCCAGCAAGAACCGACAAGGAGCGGACAACTTCATCCTGCACTTTGCAGACCAGAGACGACCCAGGATCCAAGACTCGGCGTGAGTAGAAGCCCTACGTCCTCACTCCTTCTCAGGGAGCAGAGGAGGGAAGGCCACCCCTCCCCGCCCAGCACCGGTGATCTCCATCTTGGATACCGACAAAGCTCGGAGGAGCAGCTAGCTCCAGCTCAGGCCTTGGAATAAAACGAGTCATTTAGCAGGTCACAAGAACTTAACGGCGAAGTGACCTCACAGACTCAGTTCCATCCAGGGAAAAGTCACCCAGCTCAGGCGCCAGCCATTGGAGTGGCTCTCCTCACCGGGTAACCAGAGCCAGAGGCTGCCCCTCCCTCTAGCAGCCACCACAATCAATTGAAAAACAGAAACCGTGAGAATGGCTCCAGGCTGGATGCTGTGAGTTTTTTTTCACAAAATAGCCCCAGGGAAAAGCTACTGTTTGTTGAAAGGCCTCAACTCTACCCAGAACCTAGCCTCATCACTGCATCCCCCTCTTTTGTGATTCTCAAAGCAGATCACCCTCCCAGTAAACTAACCTGGGAGGGGGATCTCAAAATCTTGGGTAAAGCAGAGCATTTTTCTGCCTGTTCCAACAAACTGACTTAAGAAACCAATCAAGCCACAGGACCTCAAGCTGACCAGAGACTCCAACAAGACTCTGGTTACAGACAAAAGGGAGATACAGGATTCTTCCCACCCCTCCCAAAAAAAAAAAAAAATCAAAGAACTTTTTTTTTTCTTCTTCTTCTTTTCTTTTTTTTTTTTTTGTTTTTTGTTACCTTATATATATAAAAAAATTTTTTTCCTTTTCTAAAACTTTTATTAATCTTTAATTTTTGCCTCTTCTGAAAAAATAATTGTTTTCCAGTAACTTTTTTTTTTCCTCTTATAATTTTTATTTTAGGAATACGTGAATGTGTGTTTTCCTTTCTTTTCTTGTCTTCTTTCTCTTTTTCTTTCATTCTTAATTATCTTTTTGTTTTTTGTCTAGCTCTACTGAACTTCTGATCTTTTCTTCTCACTTTCCTATCCTTTCCACCTTTTCCTCTCTTTTGTTCTTCTTTATGTGACTTAACTCTTGTCCTGCACATCCTCAGATAAACCCGTAGTTAACTAGTAGACCCTATCCCCCATTGTGTACACACTTAATCCACAAACTTATTACTCAATTCAAAACCTCTGAGACTTAAATTCATTAATAGCAGTACTACCTCTTTATACCTATATAATATTTTAAGCATTTTTTTAAAGTTTTTCACATCTCCTCTATGTCCCTCCCTTTCTCTCAACATATTCACATTCCTCTCTAAATAGATGGTCTTTGAATCTCTATAATAATTAATTTTTACGTTTCTATTTTTTTTCTGGTCTCTTTTCATTCCCCTTTCCCTTTCTTCTTTTTCTCTCTCTCTCTACTTGCATCCTACCCAACCTATTTCCTGCATTGTGATTAGGACATAGTTAACTCTCCCTGTGCCTCCCCACACCAATCTATTCCTATTTTTTACCCACATCTCTCCCTAACCCTAATAATTTCTGGTTTTCCAAATTCTTCTCTGCGGTTCGAAGTCCTTTAACATATAGTTGTTTGATGTCGAATAGATGTATCTGTTGAACTAGATTGTATCTGTAGACTATTGACTGTACAAATGCAAACTTTGATTGATGGTTGCCTTAAGATAGTGTTCTAGCACAAAACTGGTGCTATCTTCATCTCAAATGGGCAGAGTAAGCCGGAAAAACACAAGAAAAATGGCAAATTCGGGTATCTCAATTCCCAATCTTGATAATCAGGGGTTAAAACAGATAATGAATAATCCAGAGGAGAGTTCCCAAATAGCTCTACAAACACTGCTGGCAAACATGATAAATGAGAAGTTTGACAACTTACAAAGGACTCTGTATGAGCGTGATAGGGAGAGAGAGGAGGCATCCCAGAAGTTTATACAGGAATATCATAAGCGTGAGGAAGCTACTCAAAAACTGATACAGGATTTGCGTGAACAACTTGAGAATACTCAAAGAGAAAGGGAGGAATGGCGTGAGCAGGCTGAGAACACTCAAAGAGAACTGCAGGAATCCCACGAACGGGAGGAAGCTAATCAAAGAGTAATACAGGAATTGAGAGACCAGGTAGAGAATACACAAAGATCACTAAAGGCATTCATGGAATCCATTAACAAAGAGCTGAAGGAAGTCAGGGAGACCACAAAGGGAATGCCGAATGGAACCCAACAGAAGGAATGGGAGTCCAAAGAAACCATAACCAATCAACTAAGTGATTTGAGGACAAACACTGAACACCAAATTAAGGAAGCAAAGAAATTCATACAAGACCTAAAACAGAGCTTCAACAAAGAACTTGAAGCCATCAAAGCTGACCAATTAGAAGGAAAAGAGATAAAAAACAAAGTAGAGAGTCTTGACAGCAGGTTAGACCATGCAGAAGATCGAATCTCAGGGATTGAAGACAGCCTAGATATTATAGAGAAAGAACATACAACCATCCAAGACAAGTCCAAGAAATATGATAGATCTAGCCAACACCTGGAAGACACCATCAGAAGGCCTAATCTAAGGATAATGGGTGTAGAGGAGCACCTAGAAACAGAAGTTAATGGTCTAGGAAATTTGTTTAACAGGATCCTAGCAGAGAACTTCCCAAACATGCAAAAAGATAGGCCTGTCCAGATACAAGAAGCCTTTAGAACCCCAAATAGACCAGACCAGAATAGGACATCCCACCGCCACATTATAATCCACACAGGATCAACTCAGAACAAGGAAAAGATCCTTAAAGCTGTCAGAGAGAAAAGGGTAATCACTTATAAAGGGAAACCAATTAGAATCACCTCAGATTTCTCAGCAGAGACAATCAAAGCAAGAAGAGCCTGGAATGATGTATGCCATGCCCTAAAAACAAACAACTATCAACCAAGAATACTGTACCCAGCTAAACTCTCCTTCATAACTGAAGGCCAAATAAAAACCTTCCATAGCAAAGAAAAATTGAAACAATACATCTCCACCAAACCAGCCCTACAAAAGATTCTTAAAGATGTCCTACACATAGAAAACCAACAAGACCGCAATAAAGGCCAAGAAACTGTACCCAAACTGAGAATCCAAGAACCATAGGAAGAACCCAGTTTTCGCAGCCCCCAAGAAGGTAGATAACATGGCAGGAACTCCCAAATACCTCTCAGTCCTATCTCTTAACGTTAACGGACTGAACTCTCCAATTAAGCGACATAGACTGTGTAGTTGGATTAAAAAACAAGACCCTTCTATCTGCTGCCTGCAGGAGTCACATCTTGCCCGTAAAAACAAACACATTTTCAATGTTAAAGGCTGGAACAAAATCTACCAAGCAAACGGACCCCATAAACAGGCGGGAGTTGCAATCCTAATATCAGATAAAATAGACTTCAAATTAAAATTCGTGAGAAGAGATAAAGAAGGTCGCTACATACTAATTAAAGGATCTCTTCTTCAGGAGGATATTATAATCCTAAATATCTATTCGCCAAACAATGGAGCACCCAAATTTATCAAAGAAACACTACTTTCCCTCAAATCCCATATAGATCCAAAGACATTAATTGTTGGGGATTTTAACACACCACTCTCCCCACTAGATAGATCAACTCGGCAAAAACTCAACAGAGAAACCACAGATCTAAACAGCTGCATAGATCAACTAGACTTAACAGACATCTACCGAACATTTCACCCAGCAGCATCAGAATACATGTTTTTCTCAGCAGCACATGGAACGTTTTCTAAAATAGACCACATTTTAGGCCACAAAGCAAACTTGTCTAAATTCAGAAACATTGAAGTTATACCTTGCATTCTCTCTGACCACAAGGGAATAAAATTAGAACTCAACACCAAAAGCCACCAAAGAAAGTCCGGTATCACATGGAGGCTGAACAACACACTGCTGAATCATGAGTGGGTCATGGAAGAGATTAGAAAGGAAATTCAAATCTTCATGCTATTCAACAAAAATGAACACACAAAATACCAGCTCCTCTGGGACACAGCAAAGGCAGTACTCAGAGGCAAGTTTATAGCTCTGAGCTCCTACATCAACAAATTGGAGAGATCTGAAACTAACAATTTAATGACACATTTAAACCTCCTTGAAAAAGAGCAGCAAGATAAACCCCAATCCAGTAGACGGAAAGAAATAATCAAAATTAAATCAGAATTAAATGAATTAGAATCCAAAAAAACTATAGAAAGAATCAACAAAACAAAGAGTTGGTTCTTCGAAAAACTTAACAAAATTGACAGACCCTTAGCAAATCTTATCAGAAAAAGAAGAGAACACACCCAAATTAATAAACTCAGAGATGAGAATGGAAACATCACCACGGAAACAACCAAGATTCAGAACATTATAAGGGAATACTTCTCAAAACTTTATGCTAATAAGTTTGAGAACTTGACAGAAATGGACCTCTTCCTAGCAAATATTGACATGCCAAAACTAAACCAAGATGAGTTAAACTATCTTAACAGGCCCATATCAAGCATTGAAATAGAAACAGCAATAAGAGACCTCCCAGCTAAGAAAAGCCCAGGACCAGATGGTTTTACAGTGGAATTTTACAAGGCCTTCAAAGCAGAGCTCACACCAATTCTCCTCTAACTCTTCAATGAAATTGAAAGAGAAAGCTCACTACCGAACACATTCTACGAAGCCATCATAACCCTCATCCCAAAACCAGGCAGGGACTCATCAAAGAAAGAGAACTATAGACCCATTTCTTTGATGAACATTGATGCAAAACTTCTCAACAAAATTTTGGCCAACCGACTTCAACAATTCATCCAAAAAATCATACACCACGACCAAACAGGATTCATTTCAGGGATGCAAAGCTGGTTCAATATACGCAAATCAATTAATATTATTCATCACATCAACAGGAGCAAGAATAAGAACCACATGGTTATCTCAATAGACACAGAAAAAGCATTCGACAAGATCCAACACCCCTTCATGATGAAGGTTTTGGAAAAATTAGGAATCCATGGAACATTCCTCAATACAATAAAGGCTGTATATGACAAACCTACAGCCAGCATTATACTCAATGGTGAAAAACTAAAGCCATTTCCTCTTAACTCAGGAACAAGACAAGGATGCCCACTCTCTCCACTTCTCTTCAATCTATTATTAGAATGCCTAGCTACAGCAATAAGACAAGATGCAGACATAAAGGGGATCCAAATAGGGAAAGAAGAAATAAAACTCTCCCTCTTTGCAGATGACATGATCTTGTATTTAAAGAATCCCATAGACTCCACTCCCAAATTACTCAAGCTGATTCAAAGCTTTGGCAAAGTAGCAGGTTATAAAATTAACCCCCAAAAATCAATGGCTTTTCTGTATGCCAACAATGAGAAAAGTGTGGCTGAAATTAGGAAAGCAACTCCATTCATAATAGCCCCACAAAAAATAAAATACCTAGGAATTAACTAAAGAAGTGAAGGACCTCTATGATGAAAACTTTAAAATCTTGAAAAAGGAAATCAACACAGAACTTAAAAAATGGCAAAACCTCCCATGCTCCTGGATTGGAAAGATTAACATCATGAAAATGGCAATACTTCCCAAGGCTATCTACAAATTCAACGCAATACCTATCAAAATTCCACCCTCATTCTTCCAGGAAATAGAAGAGGCAATCCAAAAATTCATATGGAACAATAAAAGACCCCGAATAGCAAAAACGCTCCTCAACGGAAAGAACACTGCTGGAGGAATATCAATACCAAATTTCAAACTACTATAAAGCCATAGTAATCAAAACAGCTTGGTATTGGCATAAGAACAGACCTCAGGACCAATGGAATAGAATTGAAAACCCAGAAATGAACCTACAGACCTATAGCCATCTAATCTTCGATAAGGGAGCTAAAACAATAGAATGGAAGACAGACAGCCTCTTCAGTAAATGGTGCTGGCAAAACTGGTTAACTACATGTAGAAAACTAAAGCTAGATCCTTATATATCACCCTGCACCAGAATCAACTCCAAATGGATCAAAGACCTTGAACTCAAAGCAGACACTCTGAAAACATTACAGGATGGAATAGGAGAAACCCTAGGTCTCCTTGGCTCAGGCCAAAATTTTCTGAATAGAGACCCGGAAACACAACAAATCAAAGAAAGGTTGGACAAATGGGATTGCATAAGGTTGCAGAGCTTCTGCAGGGCAAATGACATAGCTAGCAAGATCAATAGAAAGCCCACGGATTGGGAGAAGATCTTTACTAGCCATACAACGGACAAGGGTCTCATATCTAAAATATACTTGGAACTCAAAAAATTAAACCACCCAACAACAAATCCTCAAAGAAACAACTGTCCAATAAGTAAGTGGGCGAAAGACTTAAAGAGAAGCTTCTCTGAAGAAGAAAGAAGGATGGCCAATAGACACATGAAGAAATGTTCAACATCCCTAGCCATAAAAGAAATGCAAATCAAAACAACATTGAGATATCACCTCACTCCAGTTAGAACAGCAAAAATCAAGAACTCTAACAACAACAGATGCTGGAGGGAATGTGGACAGAAAGGAACCTTACTTCATTGTTGGTGGGAATGTAAACTTGTTCAACCACTTTGGAAAGCAGTATGGAGGTTCCTCAAAAGACTTCACATAGAACTCCCCTATGACCCAGCAATCCCACTTTTGGGCATTTACCCTAATGTTTACAAACAAGACCACACTAAAGCTACCAGCACAACTATGTTTATTGCAGCATTATTTACCATAGCTAAGATATGGAACCAACCCAGATGCCCCTCAGTAGATGAATGGATCAAGAAAATGTGGTATATATACACAATGGAATTCTATGCCTCCATCAGAAAGAATGACATTTCCCCATTTGTTAGGAAATGGAAAGGCTTGGAAAAAATTATATTAAGTGAAGTAAGCCAGGCCCAAAGAAACATAGGTCCCATGGTTTCCCTTATTTGCAATATCTAGTATAGGTATGAGTCAAGCAGAAAAAGTCAGATAATGTGATGTTAGGAAAACGAACCCTCAAATATGTATTTTAATGTTTTTGTTTCTTTCATGCATGTGTTTCTAACACATTTATAAGATTATTTCTTTATTGCTTTGTATGTCCCTCCCCCACAGTGTAACCCCCGCTTTCACTATATTTGATGTCAGTATAACATGTGGAGGAGATGGGGACAAACAAGTCGTTTAAGGATTCAGGTGGACCTGTTACAACAATGAGAAGTACAAAATGTCATGTCAAAACCAGCTTTACAATGTCGGTGGGGGGGGGGGGGGAGGGGGGGTATGATTGGGTGGGGGGAGGGGGGAGGCTGGGAAGGGAGGTGAAGGGTAAACAAAGGAGGAGGCTGCAATGCTTGGTAAGAAATGTATGCATTATCCTGCCCATGTAATTGTAACCCCTCTGTACAGTATGTTCTCAAAATAAAATTAAATAAAATAAAAATAAAAACTGAAGTATCAGAGATGAACTTGTATAATCAGGATTTACCTTTATTCTTTTTTAAAAACTAAACAATAGGAATTTATTTTTCTCAATGCTGGATACTAGTTATATCAGATCAAGGTGTCGGGGGGTTGGGCTTCTCCTGTGCCCTTTCTATACCTTGATTCTTTAATTGAACAAAATTAAATAGTATCTAAAAACCAGTGAAGATTTACCTGTGTTTTTTCTGATACTTCACGAAGTATAATTATTTCAGACCTCAAATATGCATTTTCTTCATTTTTGTTTTTGAGAGTTATTTGTACTTCCTATTGGAGAAAATGTAATTACTTTCTTTTCCACAGGTACAAGGTATTATATGTATCTTTATGAAAATATCTGCTGAGTATCTAGCCAATGCCAGTTCAAGGTCCAATATAAATGTGTGTATATGTGTGTGCTTGTAGGTCTTATAAAGAATTTGTTAAGATTTTAGTATCTTCAGCTTCTAAACTACTGTTTCTAAATTATCAAAACTGTTTATAGCTAAGCACTAGTAGCTCACAGGTATAATCCTAGCTACTCAGGAGGCTGAGATCTAAGATCATAGTTCAAAGCCAGCTCAGGCAGACAAATCTGAGACTCTTATCTCCAATTAAACAGAAAAAGTCAGAAATAGAGGTGTGGCTCAAGTGGAAGAGCACCAGCTGTGAGCAAAAGAGTCAGTGAGAGTATGAGGCCCTGAATTCAAGCCCCAGTTCCAGCAAAAATAAAACAAAAGTCTGTTTACACAAATCTGAGGATGTGGAAACAACAGACACTCATTCATTACTGGTAGGAATGCAAAACTGGGAGGCAGGTTCCTAATTTCTTACAGAAATTATCACACGACCTGGCAATCAGGCAATCAGGCTCCTTGGCATTTACCCAAGGGAGCCAAATATTTTTATTTAAAAATCTTTGTATGCAAATAGATCATCCAGACAATGAGTTGGATATTATTCAGCACTAAAATAAACTATAAAGAAAATTTTAAATGTTTATTCAACTAAAGAAGTCTAAAAAATGTCACATGTACTATATGATTGTGACCATATGACATTCTGGAAAAGACAAATCTACAGAGACAGTTACCAGGGGTTGGGATGGAGAGATGAATAGCTAGAGCAAACAGGTTTTGAGGGGAAGCAGTATTATTAGGTAGGATACTACTACAGTGGACTTGTCGTTATTTGTTTATCCAAATCCAAAGAATGTGTAACTCCAGAGGGATCCTTAATGTAAATGATAAGACTTTGAATGATAATGATCGGCCAATGTATTCACTTGTTGTAGTACTGTTCCATTCACTGGGGAATGCTGATAACCAGAGAGGCTATGCATGTATAGGGACAGGGACCATATAAGAAACGTCTGTACCTTCTACTCAATTTTGCTATAAGCCTAAATCTGCTCTATTAAATCTGCTATATCTGGTCTATTATAAAAAAAATTTATAAGCCAGGAACCAGTGGCTTACACTTACAAGTCTAGCTATTCCGGAGGCTGGGATCTGAGGATTGCCATTCAAAGCCAGCCTAGGTAGGAAAGTCTGTGAGACTCTTATTAACTACCAGAAAACCAGAAGTAGTGTTGTAGCTCAAAGTGATAGAGTACTAGCCTTGAGCAAAATTACTCAGGCCCCAAGTTTAAGTCCCACAACTGAAAAATAAAAACCTTCATAAATTATTCTCATAAAGGGGTTCTAACTAGAAAGAACTTGCCTAGAACATAACCTAGCTGGGTACTGGTGGCTCATGCTTGTAGTCCAAACTGCTCAGGTGGCTGAGATCTGATGACTGAGCATTGAAGTTTGCCTGGGCAGAAAAGTCTAAGAGAGATTATCTTCATTTCTAACAAAAAAAGCTAGACTCATAGTTCAAGTGGTAGATTGCCAGATATGAGCAAAAAAGTCAAGTGAGAGGCCATAAGTTCAAAGCCCTATAATGGCACATACACAGAACCAAACAAAAACAAAAAAGTAATCTACATTTACTAGAATGCTTACATTATGTAAATTCTACTCTCTAGGATTATATAGCTTCTGTTACATATACATTGTTTCCTAGAAGCAATTTCTCAAGAAAGATAAACATATCAAGAAAAATATTAAGAAAGATAATACAGGATGAGATAGCATTCAGAAAAATTATTCCAAATGTGCTCTGTATAGCAAAAGATTAATTTTAAAATGTAATATGAGGCAAAAAGTAATATAATTTTCATTTTTAAAGTTATAATAAAATATGAAATTTGCCATGCTAACCATTTTAAGAGTACAGTTTAGTAGCATTAAATATATTCACATTGTATTGTAACAATCCACCAAAATAACTTTTTGCATTTTATTAACCATTTTTTACAATTTATGTATAATCTGAAAATATAAATGTCTTATTTTTGTTAATTAATATTTTCAACATGTAATAATCTGAATAAAATGATTACTTAGTGCCTGATACCTAGTATTACCCTGGATATATAACTTACATGAAGCTTTCTTTTTTCCTGTATTAGGAGTTCCTGGGTGCTCTGTATAGAACTGCGTAGGGCAATGCAATTCTTCTGCAAAATGTGAACCTGAAATTGGAAAAAAACTGTTTTTTTGTAAGGCAGATTTTTGAAAAAATAAATGACCTTATGGAACATGTGGAGAGTAGAATTTTTAAGGTCACTAAGGGCAAAAGAGAAGTAGGTCTATGTGTCACAGCTGAAATCTCAACAGAAGACATGCCTTATTGCAGTGTTGTCCAACGGCACATTTTGGGCACTTGTAGCACACACAGTCATCAGCCAGAGGAGGCTACTGAGAATGTGAAATGTGGCCAAAGTGAGTGAAGAAGTAAACAGTTTTTTTTTTAATAGTCAGTTTTAAAATGCTTAACTAATTTCAACTTAGCAGCATTCACACATGTAGCTAATGGTTGATTTACATCACTAAAGGATTATTTGTGAATTCCTTAAGTAGAATCCTTTTCATAAGTGAGTGGTGAAGAACAGTCATTGGTCAAAATAAGAAGAATGTAATCTGAATACAGGCATTAAATTATGAAAATACGAATTGTGTTTAGTAGTTAGAACATACTCTAAATGTCATATAAGGACTTCAAAAAATAACTACAATGAAGGCACACATTGTGTTAAAATAAACAATAGTAATTGACAACAGCAGTATAAGTATGTTCCTGATTATTTCACTGTTGGATCTTTGCTTCAAGTGTTAGTTCAACTTAGTCTTTGTTGTCTAGCCAAATCACAGACACACAGCATAGGGTGAGAGACATGATGAGATCAGACTAATGATTTCCAAAATCAGTGCCTCTAGCAGAGAGTACATGGGCAAGGAAGAGTTACTGTACCTAGAGCTACAAGTCCATGCTGTGAAGCCTGAGGCAAATTAACTTCTCTGGGCATTAGCTATCATATTCATTAATTAGGAACTGTATTAAATAACATTAGAGTCATTTTGTACCACAATTACCTTAAGTTGTAGCAAGAATGTTAGCAGAGATTAAAGAAAATAAATAATAAATTTGGAGAAAATTGACAAAATAATGTTTATAGGTAAATTCTTTTTTACTTCCCTAACACGGGTAAGAAAAGGGAATTTTGTACCTGTTTCTGTTCCACTTCCACTGCTGATCCCATTTCCTGTACTTTGAGTAGCATAGCTGATCCAGATCTCTCAAGAGATTCTCTGACATGCTTCTCCAAAGCCAGCTGTCTCCTCAGCTACATAGCAACATTGAAGTTAAGCCAGTCTAAGGAATATCATATGCCAGTTTCCCAAAAATCAAAGTTGCCAGATACACCATCTCGGAATTGAACATTCTTTATTTACAGTCATGCTCTTATACATATGTATGCATAAAGGCATGCTCTTGTTTCTCCCTAATATATAAAAGTATGAAGTCAAATCTGTTGCTGCCCTTATCTTCTTACTGTATTGTATTGTAAGTTACTTGCAAGCAGCACTTAGAAAAAGAAGAGCAGAAGCTGGGGGCCAGTGGCTTATGCCTATCATTCTGGCTACTCAGGAGGCAAAATTTACCTAGGAAGAAAAGTTCTAGAGACACTTTCTCCTATTAACTAACAAAATGCCAGACTAGAAGAGTGATTCAAGTGGTAGAACACCAGGCATGAACAAGAAAGAAGCATGCAAGATGACCTGAGTTCAAGTCATGATACCAGCACAAAAAAGGAGAAGGAACAGAGGAGGAGGAAGAATAGGAAAAGAAGAAAAAAGAGGAGGGGGAGAAAGAGGAGGGGAAAAGAAGAAGGAAGAGAAGGAAGAGGAAGAAGGAAGGAAGAAGGAAGGAAAGAGAATAGAATGTTGAGATAAGCAGATAAGTCCTGCTTCATAAAATGGTTCTGTAATATGTATGTGTGTTGGTGTTGTAATATAAAATAGATGTTTAATGCATTCAAACTTTCAAAATAAGTAGAAAAAGTGCTAGCATCATATCTTAGTATGTATTTACTTCATTTCTGTATTATCTTGTTCTATTTTTCAACTCACTTTCCTATATCTTACATTGTTTTAATTTTGTAGTATTATAACCATACTTCTAGAAGCTATTTCAAGATCAGGTATAATGGCTTAAGTCTAAATTGCAGATACTCTGGAAATGGGTATCAGGAAGCTTGTACAGTGGGTAGCTAGCCCAAGCAAAAAATTAGTGAGACCCTATCTTAACCAAAAACCTGAGTGTAGTACTTCTTGCCTGTATGCCATCTACATGGGAGCCCAAAATAGGAAGATCACAGTCCAGGTTTGCCCAGGACAAAAAATGTGAGGCCCAACCTGAAAAAAATAAAGGGTTAAAGTAGATAGATGCTTAGCAACCGTAAGGTTTTGAGTTCAGATCCCAGTATCACCTAATTCTGTTTTGGACTTTGAAAGTCTAACTAATGAAGTAACTGTTAAATAACAGTGTTCATTAACATGAAAGAACTTGGATCCTGTGTCATTATAATACAAAAATATCTATTTGATCTCTGCTCATTGTGTCTGACATTAAAACCCTGTAATTGTCTTTCAGGAGCTAGCTAGATGTAGTAGTTAGAAAAACTCTTAAAGGTCTCACTTCCAAACACTACTATACTGGGGATCAATTTTCCAACACATGAACTGGCAGGGGACACAAGTCACATACAATCATACAATATCCAAAATATACAAAAAACACTCTTAAACTAATCAAAATAAGTTTAAACTCAAGAAAAAAAAACAAGACCAGGAAGTTCATGGTCTGAGGCCAGCTTGGACAAGCTGGTAGCAATGAGGACCCCATCTCAACCATTCATTAAAAATCTGAGCATAGTGGCATGCACCTGTAATCTACTGAAAAGGGAAACAGGAGAATATCAGTTCAGGCCAGTCCAGACAAAAACTAAGATCCTATTTGAAAAATAGAAAGCAAAAAGGGCTAGAGGGCATAATTCAAATGGATGGGTACCTGCCTAGCAAGCACAAGACTGAGTTTTGACTCCAGTACCACTAAAAAAAAACTTCACTCGTAAACTGCAAAATAAGAGACCATTACATACAAAGTAGAATGGCAAAAAATCAAAATACTTATCAAATGCTGGTAAAGATGGAGAACTATGTTCTTATTTGGCCAGCTTATTCCTTGCTGGCAGTCATTTTGTAAGATGATTGGGCAGTTTCTAACAAAGCTAAACCATAGGCTTATCATTAACCCAATGTTATACATCCCTAGGTTATTTACCCAAATGAGTTGAAATCTTATGTTCACATAAATATCCATAATACAAATATTTATAGAAGCTTTATTTCTTATTGTCAGTAATCGTAATCAAACAAAATGTTCTTCAATAAGTGAATGGATGAACAAGCTATGGTACATACAATGCAATATTGCTCATCAATTAAAAGGATACAAACCATATGAAGGAACTTTAAATATGCTAAGTGAAGGCAGTCAGTTCACAAAGGTTATATACTGTATAATTCCAATGACAACAAAACTTTATAGATGGCAAAGTGGTTGCCAAGGGATCAGAGGGAAGAGTAGAGAGGGATGAGTAGGTAAGTATAGTTTATCTTTGGGGCAGTGAAATTACTCTGGATAATCCTGTAATGGTAGACACATACATTGTGAATTGGCCCAAACTCAGAAGTGCACAAGGACAAGAAGTGAATTCTAGAATAAACTGTGGGCTTCAACTGGATCAATAGTGGTTCATCAAATATACCAAGTATCACACTAATGTGGTCTGTTTAAAACAAACCTGTGAGAATGAGTAGGAGGTATATGGGAATTCTTTTCTGCACACGTTTTCTATAAACATAAAGCTGCTCTAAAAGTCTATTGAAATATGTAAAAACATGAAAACATTCTAAGAGCAATCATAAATTACTAGCAAATAATATTCTCTATAATAATAATTTTCTAGATAGCTATGCTTGATGCTTCAAGCACTACAAATATATATATACATATTTTAAAGGTTTTAAATATACTTTGACCCTTTTGTTTTAGACTAATGACAATATTTGGTCAGGAACACTGAGAATTTTAGTCTATTGTCAAATATATTAGATTAGTAATTTTTCTGACTGTTTTTTTTTTGGGGGGGGGGTTAGTCATGTGCCTGAACTCTGGGCCTGGGCGCTGTCCCTCAGCTCTTTAGCTCAAGGCTAGCATTCTAGCACTTGAGCCACAGCTCCACTTCCGACTTTTTTTTTTCTGCTTATGTGGTGCTGAGGAATCAAACCCAGGGCCTCATTCATGCAAGGCAAGCACTCTACCACTGAGCCACCTTCCCAGCCCTTTTCTGACTTTTATCACTATTTTCAGCTACAAAATTTTAGTTCAACAGCTTGTAGCAGCCACTTCTTAATTCCCCAAACAAGACTGAAATTAATATTTCAAGGTAAAATTAGAGCATATCATAGCTTTTTAAATTGTCTTTAATTGTTTTCACGTTTGTGCTGACACTGAACTCAGGGCCTGAGTCTTGTCCCTTAGCTTTTTCATTCAAGGCTAGTGCTCTACCATTTGAGCCACAGCTCCACTTCTGGGTTTTTGGTGGTTAGTTGGAGATGAGCATCTTATAAACTTTCACACTTAGGCTGGTTTTGAACCATGATCCTCAGATCTCAGCCTCTTGAGTAGCTAGGATTACAGGTATAAGCCACCAACACCCAGCTAGCTTTTAATTGTAAATACAACTTTAGATTAAAAGGTCATTACATGAAGGAATGCAGCATGTGGGCATGGCTTTTAGGGCAATTTTTTCCCTAGCTTATTGCAGTATTAAAGCCAAAGGAAGTCTTAATGTAGGGCTAGCACTCACACTTTAATTATATGTTGCACTTCTTAAAGTCTTTCTTTAATAAAGCATATTTATGCTTTCAAAAAAGGCATAAGTAAAACATACTTTCTTCTTCAAAAGGTCCTTTTCATTCTCTATTTTCTTTCTTTCCCCCTCAGAAATTCCAATTCTTTCTCTTGCTCCAGTATCTTTTTTCTTACCTCTTGAACTTTATGGTTCATTTTACGTTTTGTGGTTTTCAATTCCTCTTCAATAGCTGCATTCTTTTAAAAGGAGAAAGAGAAAAGATTCTAAATTGAAATGGCAGATATTATCTATAGGTATATCAATTATTACTTTGATTCATGGCTTTTAGATCAGAAATAGTAATCACATCCATCTCTTGTGTTAAAATTGACTGATTAGAGGACAAACTAGAAATTGACCAATATTTTCTTACAAAGAATCTTTCTTATTTTAAGAGCTCTTATTTTCCTAGCATCAAATATCATTCATACTTAAAAGCCAAGGACTTATTACTTATTCTTTTTTTTAAATTATTATTAGTGGCACTAAAGTCCTAGACATAAAATCTCAAAATTGTTTTTGCCTTCTTTCCTACCTTCAGTCTATATCCAATACTATATTCTGGAGTATGTTCCCTTTCAGAATTCCACAATACTGGTTTTGACCTAATTAGCTATTAGACTCATAGTGCAAATAATACAATTCAAATCCTAATTACTTTTCCTGACTCCATTCTCCTCTCCCCATAATCAGTACTCTAAAATACTGCCTAATTTGTTTTCTCTGCCTTTTTTCCTGTTTGTTTTTTTGTTTGTTTTTGTGATTTATTTTTCTGGTGCCAATCCTGGGGCTTGAAAGTTAGAGCTTGGGTGCTGTCCCTGTGCTTTTTTTTGCAAGGCTAGAGCTCCTAACTTGAGCCACAGCTCTACTTCCAACATTTTGGTGCTTAATTGGAAATAAAAATCTCATAGACTTTTCTGCTTTCTTGCCTGGGCTTGCCTAGAACCATGGTCTTCAGATCTCAGACTCCTGAGTAGCTAGGATTTCAGGCGTGAACTACCGGTGCTCTCCTCTGCTTTTATTAATCATTTCACTATTTTAAAAAATCATTCTCCATAGGAACTATACAATTGTTGGTTATAATGATGACATAATGATTATGTACATAATTATGTACATAAATGTACACAATGATTTTGAGACCTCTACAATGTGATACCTACTTCATATCCAGTTTATTTTCCACAAACAAATTCTTACTCCTGTCAGCCTAGTTTACATATTTCACCCAGTGGAATGATCTGGCTCAAACCTGGATTATAGGAAGAAGCCAGGCATGTGGTTATCTTGGACAAGTGACTTCCCTCTGGTCCAGAGTACTCTTACTATTAAACAGGCCAATGGTGTCCTATTTCATAGGATATCCTTGTAGACCTAATTCTTTCCTTTACCTGCATATGCTCATTGAAATGACCTTTCCCTCCTACTTTGCCTCCTAAAGGTTGAGCTCAAGTCCTATTATCTGTTTTCTAAAGCCTACCTGATCTATTCTAGACAGGGCATGCTCACCCTTTTCAAACATGCCTGAACAAAGAGCCTTTGCTATTAAATATTCACATGTCCCATACCATCCTATAACACTTTTGTTACACTCTTATTTCTTCCTATTTATCATAGTATGCCTTGTGCTTCAACCATCATATAAGCTTTGAAAAGGACAGACTTCTCATACCTCTGGATGCTTACTATTCCTTATATACTATAAACAGTTACTAGCAGTACATAGTACTTTAGGTTATTGATGCACATACATGTGAAATGTATCAAGAATCTTTACACTAATATCACCTATTTTTACATCAGTTTTATTGGTCTGATGCTACTTCCAGCTGATATAAAGTAACTTTGTACTTCAGAAATGTGGACTCAAACCTTTATCTCTGAGGCCATTTCCAGAGTGGCAGTCAACCTATGAGCTTCATTTTGTGTGTTTCCTTCTCCCTCTTTGACATCTCTCAGTTGCTGGCGCAAACTCATCACTTCAAGATGCAACAGCTTCAGATCTTTGGAATGTTCCTCCTCTATTGTATTCAATCGATCCTTCAGAAAAGCTACCAGACAGCACAGGAGTGGCATCAAGTAGTACAAGGAAGGTAAAGAATCATAAACTCAGATGCCCACAGAGGATAATATTCTCTTCTCTCCATACCTGTTTTCTGTGGATTCAAATCTTTTTCACTTTGTAGATGAAAGATGCTCATCTTCAAGGACTGGATGAGACTTTCCAGATGGTACATTCGATTCACCAGAAGCTCACAGTTCTTCCATAAAATATCTTTTTGTCCTGGACAAATTATTTCACTCTGGATAGGACTAATGACTTTCTGGCTAGTAGTGTCTTCTAAATAGATTGGAATTTCCAGCGGACCTCTGGACAAAGATCCCAATATAACAATATTATGCAGTGCAATGTGTATCATGGTGATCCTAACCATTGAGTCCATGTAACCTTTCTAATAAGAATATAATAAACAATCACCAACATTGTCAAATACGGCTACTTCTGATGTTCCCTCCACCCACAAACCTACCAAATAAACACCTATATAAGATCAATTCCCTCTATGTCAAGAAGAAAATTAGAAATGCTGTGACTCTTCTGGCAAGCATCAGTATCAACCAGGTAGAAAAAGATGAGGTACAGTCCAGGCACAAAACTATCCATGGATATTAAACTACACACCTGAGAAGGGATCTTCCAGCATTTACCCAAAGAGAGAAGCATTTGTGCCACACATATTGTACTCCAAGGTTATCCAATATTTGGCTTGCAATTTGCCTATGTCTGAATGTAGAAGGGATCCTGAATATATATCTCATTAGACCTCAGAACAAAGTAGGAGATATCCAAGCACAGGCAAGAGCTTCCAGGGATATAATTCTCCAACATCAGAGCAGAGAATGGGATAAAATTCAACACTTCTAGGTTTCTCTCTGAAAAAGGTTTGCCAATGTATTCTGACAACTGTTACTGCTGATAGTGTAATAACAGCTGACTAACTTACATCAGAAAATTGTTAACTGGTGACACATGTTGACCTTCAACAGCCTAAAGAAGACTCAGCACTTCCTATGCCCTCTCTGCAGCTCATCCCACTGGCAACTCCAGTTTACAAATTCCTCCTGGAAGAATGGGTCACTATCAAGTGCAATGTTTATAGCTCCCACTAGAGGAACTGCAATCTCATCCTCCAGGCTCTGGGAGCTGAGGGGAGTAAGCACATGAGAGTTCTCCTAGATCACAATATCAAGAGGCAGTTTTAAGCAGTAGTGCAAGCACTTTTAGGGACTACATTCTTGGGGAGCAGAGCAAGCTTAAATGCACAGCATTAGGTTTCTGTCTAGAAAGGATTTCTCTGCATCATCTTCCAGTGGCAATTTGAAGGACTGTCTTCTAACTAACATAACTAACATAAACAGTAGACCTCCAGCAGCCTGAAAAAAGAGTGCACACTCCCTGAATTCTCTTTCTTACATTACAACGACAAAAACTTCAGATCTCCAAAGCCACTCTGAAAGGAGGCTATCTATGCATTGGTTACTACAACCTCTGCTGTGCGCTGAGAGTTGATAAGGCTCTGCCTCCCTCAACCAGAAAAAATGAGGAAGTGGACACACAATAGACCCACTATGATCAGAGAGTACATACTGACTTAGAGTGGAAATGTCTGACATAGATACTCTTGCCTACTAGTGCAAAGACAATAGATGATAAATGCCTGTTCGTGGCTTCACCCTGAACATATAAAGAACTGGGAAACACATCTAAAATACCATCCTTTCCTGCTGTATCTGGATGGTCTGTACTCTCATTTATCTTACCTGACTCAAAGGCACTGAAAAGCAAAACTCATGTGATCATCTCAATAAATGCAAAAAATACCATGTGAGAAAATTTGATGTTCTTCCATGATAAAAACTCACAACAAATTAAATAGAGAATGAATGTTCCTTAACACAACAGAGGCTAGAAATGGCAAGTACACAGTTGGCATTATGCTTAATGGTGAAAGCTTTGTCCAGAAAAAGAATGAGACAAAGATGCCTATTTCCTCTATCAGACTCAACATGGTATTGAAAATCCTAGCCAGAGTAATCATGGAAGAAAAAGAAACACAAGGCATACGGATCAGGAAGGAAGAAGTAAAACTACCTAATGTTGCTAATTATATATCTAAATATATAATTTAGTGTTGCTAATTATATATCTAAATATATAGTGTATATAATATATAACATATTATGTAAATGTAATATAAATATTATATAAAGATAATATAATATAAATATTTTATATAAAGAAAAAGAATATAAATATGTTATAAAACCAGAGGCAGGTACTCTCACACTGTAATCCTAGCTACTTGGGAGGCAGAGCTCTGATGACTGAGGTTGGAAGTCAGCCTGGGCAGGAAAGTTCATGAGACTTTTACCTCCAATAAACTACCAAAAAAAAAATCCAGAAATGGAACTGTGGCTCAAGTGGCAGAGTGCTTGCCTTGAACCTAAAATAGTCTCAGGGACAGCTCCTAGGCCCTGAGTCCCTGAGTTCAAGTCCCAGGACCAGCAAGAAAAAAACAACAACAAAGAAACAGATATATTACCCAGTAGAACAGGATGGAGAGCACAGAAATAATCTCTGTATTTATAATTAATTAATTAATTAATTTTTTTGGGGGGGGGGGGGTCCAGTCATGGGGCCTGAACTCTGGGCCTGGGCGCTATCCCTCAGCTCTTCAGCTCAAGGCTAGCGCTCTACCACTTGAGCCACAGCACCACTTCCGGCTTTTTTCTTTTTTGCTTATGTGGTGCTGAGGAATTGAACCCAGGGCCTCAGGCATGCAAGGCAAGCGCTCTACCACTGAGCCACCTTCCCAGCCCTAATTAATTTATTTTTAATAAAAATGCTAAGAATATACAACAGCAATAGGACAATCTCTTCAATATATGATATTAGGAAAACAGGTTGTCCACATGCCGAAGAATTAAACTGGCCCCTTTGTACAAACCATATATAAGAATCAAAAATACATTAAGGACTTAAGTGAAGAACTGAAACAAACTTCTATAAGAAAATGAAAGGGGCCGAGCACTGGTGGCTCAAACCTGTAATCCTAGCTACTCAGGAGGCTGAGATCTGAGGATTTTGGTTCAAAGCCAACCCGGGGCAGGAAAGTCCGTGAGACTCTTATCTCCAATAAAAACCACTAGAAAACCGAAGTGGCACTGTAGCTCAAGCAGTAGAGCGCTTGCCTTGAGCTGAAGAGCGCAAGGACAGCAAAAAAAAAAAGCACCCAAGCCCAGAGTTCAAAGCCCACGACCAACCCCCCCCAAAAAAGAAAGAAAATGAAAGGGAATGCTTTTACTTTGTACTTGACAATGATTTCTTGGATATGACTTTCAAAACACAGATAACACCTTGCTCATGTCACTAACCCTTCTGTACAGTATTTTCATAATAAAAAACTTATTGAAAAAAACACAGATAACAAAAGCAAAAGTAGTCAAACAGGACAAACTTTTTTAGTAGCACTAGGGATGAAGTTTTTTAGTATCTTATTCTAAATTGTGAAAACTTTAAAGATTTCAAATCTTTCTTTTAAGTTGATATAGGAGAAACTAATGATAAATTAATAGCATGAAACATTTCAAGTTTTTCCTTCAGTAGATTTTAAATTAGAACTAAAAATTTCATAACATGAAAAATAGTTTTCAATCATTTCAAAGATAAACAAAATATTAAATTTTTTTTTTTTTTGGGTCCGGTAGTGGGGCCTGAACTCTGGGCCTGGGTGCTGTCCCTCAGCTCTTCAGCTCAAGGCTAGCACTCTACCACTTGAGCCACAGCGCCACCTCCGGCTTTTTTTCTTTTTTTGCTTATATGGTGCTGAGGAATTGAACCCAGGGCCTCAGGCATGCAAGGCAAGCACTCTACCACTGAGCCATCTTCCCAGCCCCCAAAATATTAAAATTTTATACCTAAGTAATAATCTTTTTGAGGTACAGATGATTTGAACTCAAGGCTTCACTCTTTCTAGGCTGGCACAATATCATTGAGCCCTATTTTTCACTGGTTGAGCCTCCATTTTTCAGCTTTGATGAGATCACAGGCAGGTACCACCATGCCCAACTTCTGTTTCATGGAGATGGAGTTCCTCTGACTTTTCTACAAAACATGCCCAATCTCAGCTTCTTATTTAGCCTGGAGTGGCAGACATAACTCAGCAATGGGTTGAAAAGGAATGGAGAACTTTTTGGTTGGGCTGGTCTTAAGCTGTGACATTCTTTAGACTCCCACACAGCTAATATTACAGGCATGAGCAAATGGAACTCAACCCTAACTCACATTTTCTTTAACTATAAAGAATAGTGCCAATAGCTCTGTGTTATGGTTTATATAGAAAGTGTTACCCAACAGGCTCAAGTGTTAGAGGCATGATCCCCAGCTGGTGAGTTTATCACTGAGAGGCTATTGGATTGTGTGGGTGGTAATTTCATCAATGGATCTGTCCAATTCATATTGAATTGGCTATTAGGAAGTAGGGCCTGACTGGAGGAAGTCAACTGGGGGTGTGGCTATATATCTGGGCCTGGACCCTTTCTGCTCCTTTCTCATTCATTTTCTCTTTCTCCCTTCCTTACTCCTCTCTTTCCTTCCTGACTGTCATGATAAGCAGCCAGCTCTAATGCACTATATCCTCTTTGCTAAATGCTTTGGCTTACCACAGACCCATAGTGATAACTATGGATTCAAACTTCTAAAACAATGAGCTAAAAATAAATTGCTCTCTCAGTTATTTTGTCATGGCAATGAAACACTTAACAGACTCTGTCACAGAATGACAACTCTTTATCTGGCAAATATTTTTAAACTTACATTCAAATTAAAGTTATTTCTCAATTCTCTGCCAAACCATTGAGATCCCTTATTTCTAAGCAGCAAAGAAAAATTTTCCTAACCTGCAGCAATCTACTTCATTTGTCTTTGTTACCTTTTTTCACCATAGTCCAACGTTAGTAGGTCATCTCTCAGAGAACTGGTCTGTTCCTTAACTACTCTCATCCTTTGTTGAAGAACTGTGAATGCTTCAGAAGCTGTAGCATTGACATGGGTTGGAGAGATGACAGGTCTGCACATTCTATTTTCCATATGCACCTAAGATTAAAGTCTCAATATTAACATGGTAGGCTCACTTATTGATCAGAATAGTCATTATATCTCCCTATGGGAGGACTATGCATTAGTATCCTTTTAACCCAAGGAACTGCCATATGTCATACTTCGGCCAATTAACTATGAGTAGAAAAAAATAAAAATGAGTAGAAGCTTTAACCTCAGGTTGTTGTTCACCATCTGTCCCTTTTGTTCACCTCCACGAGACAAGCAACATTAGAAATAAGGCTTTCTCCCTATCTAGGGTCTATGACCTCTCTCCATGACATATGTAAGTGAGCAATAAACCTATGTTGTTGCAGGCCAATGAGATTGTTGAATAGGTTGTTATTGCATTATAACTTAGTATATCCTATTTGCTATAGTTTGCCACAAAGTAGGACCTGTAGCTTAGCTGAGGGAAGAATATTCTTTTTTGTCACCAGATGTTTTCATGATAATGTTACAATTCCCCAAAAGGCTCTCATGTTAAAGACCTGGTCCCCATCTGGTGGAGCCAACCAGAGATGTGATTGGATCATAAAAGTGTTAATGCCCATAGATTAATCCATGAATGAATTCATACTGAATGGTCTATTAGGTAAGGTCTGGTTTAAGTTCATTAGGGGTATACCTTTGAAGGCTATATCTTGTTCCTAGCTCTTACCTGTCTCTCTGCTTCTTGGCTGCCAATAAGGGAGCAGCTCTGGTCCACTACACTCTCTACCATGATATTCTGCTTCACCACAGGCCCACAGCAATGAGCCAAGTGACAATGGACTCAAGTTTCTGAAACTATGAGCCACAAACCCTTCTTTTCTCAAGTTGTTGTGTTATTCAGACTTTTTCATTGCTATACAAATATAACTTGAAGGAGAAAAGATTTATGTTTGGTTCACAGTTTCAGAGGTTTCAGCCCATCATGTAGGGCTGGGCATGACAGCCAGGAAGCAGCAAGAGTGAATGACTACACTAGCAGGCTTCCTCCTTTGGGGCCTACAAAACATATTCACAGTAGGCTTTACTAACCTCCAGAAATGCTCTCATACATACTCCAAGAATGGTAAAGAAACACATAGACTGTAAGTAAAGTTAAAAAAAATGTCAGGCAAATAGAAAAAAAAAGGAACAAGAATGGCTGTTTCTATATTACAAAAAATAAACTTTAAGTAAAAAAATGTAAACAAAGACAAAGAAAGTTACTAAATAATGAGAAAAGGATCAATTCAACAGATGGATATACCAATTGTAAATACAAATGCACCCAACACAGCAAGTCCATTTTTACAAAGCAAACATTAAATCTAATGGGAGAAAAGACTCCAAAACAACTATTGTAAAGGACTTCAGTAGTTCACATACATCAATGGACAGATTATCCAGGTTTAAAAAAAAAACACAACAATAAATCAACAAAGAAATGTCAGCTGACCAAATGACATTACAGAATATTTTATCCAATGGTTGCAGAATATACATTTCTCTTTCACCAGCACAGGATATATGTCAGGGCACAAAAGAACTCTTAACAAATCTCAGATACCAAAATACAGGTGCATGGAAAAAAATCAGTTCTAATGTATGACATCAGAGTGACTGTAGTTCACAATTATTTATTCTTAAATATTTTATGAAGAATTACAAAGAAGAAGTGGTGCTATGGCTCAAGTGGTGGAGCGCTCGCCTTGAGCTGAATAGCGCAGGGACAGAGCCCAGGCCCAGAGTTCAAGCCCCATGACAGACAAAAAAAAAAAAAGAATCTCGTTTCTCCATCTTTTTTGGGAGGGGGAGTATGGGAAGGGATGGGAAGGGGAAACAAAGAGACGGCAACTATGCTTGATAAGAAATGTACTCATTATCTTGCCCATGTAATTGTAACTCCTCTGTACAGTATTCTCACAATAAAAAAAAAAGAAAAAAGAAAAAAAGAATTACAAAGAAGTTTTAAAGTTCTCAAAACACATGATAAATGTCTGAGAGGGAAATGCTAATTACTTTTTATAAACATGTATTGTTATCAAACTATAATCCTGTAATGTATACAATTTTATTAACTAAAAAAAGACACCTCAAATGAAGTTAATCTGAATTTTCTCTTACAATTGCCAATATGTGATTTTCTTAAAAACAACAAACAAGCCAGGCACCAGTGGCTCACACCTGTAATCCTAACTACTCAGGAGGCTGAGATCTGAGGATTACAGTGCAAAGCCAGACTGGGCAGGAAAGTCTGTGACACTCTTATCTTCATTAAACTGCCACAAAAGCCAGAGTGAAGCTGTGGTTCAAGTGACAGAGCCAAAGTTCAGGGACAGAGTCCAGGCCCCGAGTTCAAGCCCCAGGACCAGCACACAAAAAGAAAAAGAAATAAACATATGAGTTATTTCTTTTCCCCCCTTCTTTTTCAGTCGTGGGGCTTGAACCTTGGACCTGGGTGCTGTCCCTGAGCCCTTCAGCTGGAGGCGAGCGCTCTACCACTTGAGCCCAGTGCCACTTCCAGTTTTCTGGTGTTTTGTTGTAGATAAGAGTCTCATGGACTTTCCTGCCTGGGCTGGCTCTGAACTGTGATCCTCAGATGTCAGCCTCCTTTGTAGCTAGGATTACAGTGTGAGCCACCAGCTCCCAGCTCATATTGGCTATTTCTAAGTCACTAACACCAAGTAAATCATGATGCTAAATAATGAAAAGAAATGAGATTTCTCTTTCAGGCATTCGTGAGCAGAATTATTTTATACATGGTTGGTAGTGGAAACTCATATGGACAATTTTCTGTAGCTCCATCTTGTATGCACATCTATATACTAATCATATTGTAAATCTTGGCCACTGATTACAACAATATTCCTGTGGGAATGTGATCTCAAATGTTCAAATTGGGATATTAGAAATTTGCTTTTGTACCCATTAGTTCTGTAATCTGGTATCTCTCTTCCCCTCATTTCTCAGGCAGCAAAAGTGCTACCTTGGGTCCGATAGATAACATAAAATTAATCTCTAATGTCTAGGGCAGAAAGTTATGAAGCAGTAGGGCTGGTTACAGGAACCAAAAGTATGATAGGGGAGGACGTGCTGTGGAAAAGCTGAGTTAATTGCCAAGCCAATAGAATACTGCCAGATTCAGTACAGACATTTCTTCACCATAAAGTAGCTCTTCTTTGCTTTTATTTGAATGTCACCTAAAAATTCATGTACTAGAAATTTAACCACCAAATTCATTTTTATGCTATTTGGAGATACTGCCTTTGGCAGTGATTAAGAGTAGATGCAGGGGCTGGGAAGTTGGCTCAGTGGTAGAGTGCTTGCCTTGCATGCATGAGGCCCTGGGTTCGATTCCTCAGCACCACATAAGCAAAAAGAAAAAAGCCGGAAGTGGTGCTGTGGCTCAAGTGGTAGAGCGCTAGCCTTGAGCTGAAGAGCTGAGGGACAGGGCTCAGGCCCAGAGTTCAGGCCCCACAACCAGACCAAAAAAAAAAAAAAAGAGTAGATGCAGTCATGAAGATCAAAACTCCAATGAAGAGTGACCCAGGCTAACATGCTTGCTTGTTTTACCATGTGCTCCTTCTATCAGGTTGTGAGGCGGCCATCATGAACTGCGACATCATGCTTTCACAGATTTCAAAACTGATAGAAATAGACTCTACTCTTGTCAAATTAACCATCTGAGGTATTAGAGCAACAGACAACAAATTAAAACTACCTTCTATCTTTTCCCCACAGATCCCAGAAAAATGACTTTTACACTTATCTTTTCTTCTGACCAGAATTTCTCCTTCATGCTCCTCTGTGAAACAGTATACAGTTCTGACACTTTTTTGTTGCCTTCTTTAAGAGATTTGTTGCTAACAATCAGTTTAAAGATATGGAGTAAGAAATTCCCATCTATAAGTTACTTTTTCCTATTTTTCCATTTGTTTTGAAGAAAAACACAAAAGACACATGTCCATATTAATGGAGTCTCTAGATATATAATGACTTAAAAGTTCCTCTAAACTTGTAAAAAAAAAAAAAGCCAGATATGGAGTTTCTTGGGCCATATGATTACATGAGCTAGAATGGTATTACCTGGGTAATATAAAGAACCTCTGAGAAAGACCTACTGCCAAACACCAGGCCTAGAATATGTAAGAAGAAAATTGAGGATGAAAATTGAAGAGACACATATTGAAGCTCCAATCTATTTTTATGTCATCTGTTGTCTAGTTATTGTTTACCTAGAAATAAGCTACATTGGGGAGGGTACTATAAAAAAGGAGTTATGGTAGACACCATTGACCCGCCAAAAGAAGTTGGAGAATTTATACGTCCTGGTTCCCCTGAAGCTGGCATAACCATGTGATGTAACCTGGGCAGTGGGATTTAAGGCAGAAGTGTGAACAGGCTTTGTAAGAGCTTTGTTTGTAAAGGCTTTGGGGAGACTTTTGTTTTTCCATTAAGAAAGATAGAAATTACGACACTAGTCCTGTTCTTCTTTTTGACACTAGTCCTTGTTCTTCGTCCTTTGAGAGCTCTCCTTTAGTCATCTATACAATGCCAGATGCCTAACTATAAACAAAGTCAGGAAAACATAAGGAAAAGGTTCAATAAGTGCTGGTGCTGGCTAGTATGACCTCCCCCCCCCCCCCCCCCCCCCCCCCCCCCCCCCCCCCGCCAATCCCAAATGAGTATTTGTTAAACCTATTCATATGAGAAGAACTTGGTGTTTGTTTGTTTGTTGTTTTTGTTTTTTCTAGTCCTGGGGCTTGGAATGAGGGCCTGGGTCCTTTCCCTGTCTCCTAGTGCTCAAGGCCACAGCTCTACCACTTGAGTCTCAGTGCCTTTTCTGGCTTTTTCTGAGCTTATTGGAGATGAGTCTCCAGGCTTTCTTGCCCAGGCTATCATCAGACCTTTTGATCCTCAGATCTCTGCTTCCTGAGTAGCTAGGATTACAGGTGTGAGCCAAATGGAGCCTGGCCTTTTGTTTTTAAACACTTTTCTTTTGATACGTAGAAGTCTCTGCAATAGTTGATGGAAAGAATAAGCAGAATGGACAAATAAAATGACAACACTGCTAGGGGGCAGCAAAGAGGACCATTTCTATGGCAACTTGATAGGGTCAAGTTGGGCCTACAATCTATATTGCCTATGTTAATTTATATTGGAAGCCAAGCACTTAATACTAGCACAGATATAGCAAAAAGTATCTTTGGAAAAAGATACAGAAGATAGAACAGGTAGTTCCTTGACATATTTTGAACAGAACGGTGTGTTCCACCTAATTTTTTTCCATAATTGCTGAAATGTTCAGTTTTGTTGCTATGTTCCCAAGGTAAAATAAGGTTTGCTGACAGATGAGATAGGAGATAAAAGTAACAGGAAGTAGCAAAGTTTGCTCCATGGTTTTTGGCCTGAGCAATTGGAAAGATGGTGTTACCAGTAAGGAGAGAGAAGCCTATCATGAATCAGTTTGATTGAGGGAAGATTAAAAATTGCTTTGGAAATGTAAATTTAAAACAGAAAAAGATTTCCAAACACATGTTTGAATTTGTGGGTCTGGAGCTCATAGGAGGGTTGTGGAGAGATTAATTCTTTTTTTTTTTTTGATTTAGCACTTTTTTATTGTGAAAATACTGTACAGAGGGGTTACAATTACATGCGCAAGATAATAAGTACATTTCTTATCAAGCATTGTAGCCTCCTCCTTTGTTTCCCCTTCCCATCCCATCCTCCTCCCCTATCCCTCACCCAACCATCCTCCCCCCCCCACACCAAAGTTGTAAAGTTTGTTTTCCACATAACTACTTGTATGTCTCATTGTTGCAATGGGTCCACCTGTATCCCTATTTAAACGATTTGTTTTTTCCCTTCCCCTCCACAAATTATACCAACATCAAATACAGTGAAAACAGGAGTTATACCGTGGGAGAGGGACATACAAAGCAACAAAGAAATAATCTTATAAATGTGTTAGAAACAATCGCATGAAAGAAAAACATTTGAATATATATCAGGGTTCATTTCCCTAACATCACCTTATCTGACCTTTTCTGCTGGACTCAGACATATACTAGATATTGCAAATAAGGGAAACCATGGGACCTATGTTTCTTTGGGCCTGGCTTACTTCACTTAATATAATTTATGAACCTACAGACCTATAATCTTCCATAAGGGAGCTAAAAAAATAGAATGGAAGAAAGACAGCCTCTTCAGTAAACGGTGCTGGCAAAATTGGTTAATCACTTGTAGAAAACTAAAGCTAGATCCTTATATATCACCCTGCACCAGAATCAACTCCAAATGGATCAAAGACCTCGGAGTCAAAGGAGACACTCTGAAAACATTACAGGATGGAATAGGAGAAACCCTAGGTCTCCTTGACACAGGCCGAAATTTTCTTAATAGAGACCCGGAAACACAACAAATCAAAGAAAGGTTGGACAAATGGGATTGCATGAAATTGCAGAGCTTCTGCATGGCAAAGAGATTAATTCTTAAATTTAAGCAGATGCATAGTGTGTGAAGCCATGAGACCAAGTAACACAACAGATTAGAAAGGACCTAGTTCTGAGTGCTGAGTTAAACAAATCAAGGAGGATTGTGGGTGTCCAAGACAAATTAACGTTGAGTGTCTCCAAATTAAGATTAGCTTCTTCATCCTTTTTCAGTCTTAAGTGCCCAGCACAGTGCCTGAATCACTATGGATGGTATATGGGAGAATAACTCATTAAAAATGTCCCAGCACAAGCTCCATGCACTGAACAAAAATGTAGGTCAGGGAGGATAACCAGTGACAAAAATGAAATACAGCCTTCCTAAGAGCTTGTACCCTTCCACCTGACTATAAAGAAGGGTAGAGCTGGAGCTAGGCCAAGAGGCCTCCGTGCAGGGACTCTTCCGCTACCCCCACGCCAATGCAAACCCAGGTCAGAAACCAGGACCCTGAGCTCAACCTAGCAGGGCAGAGGGCAGCAAGAAGGGGAGGTGGTGGCCTAATCGAAGCTGTCGACTCTACCTCCCACCTTAAGGGGCCCGGTGGCCTCACCCCTAAATCCATCTGTTGGCCGAAGTCTCCGCCCTGCCTTAAACAGGCCGGTTTCCATGGAACCAAGACAGCATTTTGAACTACCCGCGAGCCCGGGCGGCTCCCGTACGCAGGCGCACCCGGGGCAAAGCATGCTGGGAAGCGCAGTTCCTTGACCCGCCCAGAAGGGGGCCCTCCGCCCGGGGGGCGGAACCCAGGATGGTATCTCGTGGCACGCCGGGAACGTGCGGAAGCGTAGAGCGAGGACGTCCGAGGGCATTGTTCTTGTAGCGGGGCTCGCCGGGAAATGTAGTTTTCGTGCCGCTCTGTCAGGGCCGCCTGTGTCCACCCTGCCCGCTGAGCCATCCTCAAAGGGTGAATTTTGGCAAGCGTGTACCCTGCAGCGGGCGAAAATCTAGGTTCAAAAATGCTTTAGACGATAAGAAAGTAACAGGATTTGTTAGCGAATATTTAAAAACTGGCAAAAATAAAAGATCAAACATGTTAGAAAAAGCCAGCCACCTCTTCGTCCTTGTTGGTGATGGCCAAGTGCAGAATAAACCACATAAAATCTGCTCCCTCTTCTCTTCGGCTTAAATTATGCCTTGCCTTGTTGATAGGTAAGTGAATAGGATTTGTTTCGTTTTTTGTTAAACTCAGAGTAACTAAAAAGCGACTAAGAGAATTCAAAATAATAAAACTAGATGCTTTTAGGTGTTGCTTTAAGAGTATGTATTTGCACTTGATGGAAACCTTCAATAGTGATAAGACAGCATAGCCTTGTATTCTTTTTATTGCTGGACAGAACACTTGCTACCATCACTAGAGCAATTAAAGTTGTTCTCACTGCTCTCTGGAAGGTGCACCTGAAAATGGATCCAGCTTTGTAATATAATAAACACTCAAGTCTGAGATAAGGGTTTCATTTCCTTAGCAGGTGTCTGATTGAATTGGCCTGGCTATTCTAACTCTCCAGATAGCAGAGTGACTAGATCTGGAGAGAATGCCCATCAGACCACAGCTGCTCATCAGCCTGTAAGTCATCCCATGAAAGAGAAATGAGCACCACATACATAATTCAGGCAAAGGGACCAAATAAAGCGTTTAGTGTGGTCAATGAGGATGTATTTTAAAACATCAGGGCAAAAAAAACCAATTATTTGCCTAATATATGATTTCATTTCCAGTGATGTCTGATTTATGTGTAGAACTAAAAGATAAGGGTCATGTGCATGCACAGCACGTATAATCCCTAGGACTTTATTGTAAGCATTTTACTTCTCTGATCTCCATATTAAGCAGTCAGGCAGCCAGACTGATTAACTTTGGTGTTTTTCATTTCTTTTCCCCTTTCTACCATCTGGAAATTTTAGGAATAAAACCAAATAAAGTTAGAACAAGAATGTGAAGTCTTCAGTAAACTAATTCATTTCCCAGTGATTCAGTCTCTGAGTAGCTGAAAATCCATTGTACTTACAATCTAAGTTTATTATTTTAAGTACCTGGAAACACTGATTTTTTTCCCCTCTTCTTCCTCTTGATTTTCACTTAATATTTGTTAACCATATTGTCCCCATTCACAAAACAAGGTCCTTCTAATCATGGAAATCTTAGAGATCTATGAGGACCACATCCTCTCACTGTATTACTACAATTGTCTCCTAATTGGTTTCCTTTCACTCTCTTTAATGCATCTTTTATGCATTAAAAGACAAGATTGGTCTTGTCTTAAGCCAGGCATTTGTGACTTACACCCATAATCCTAGATACTCAGAAGGCTGAAGATGGTGGTTCGAAATCATCCCAGGCAAAAGACTCCATGACACTCTTATCTCCAATTAACCAACAAAAATCCAGAAGTGGGAGTGTAGTTCAAGTAGTAGAGGGCCAGTCTTGAGTGAAAAAGAGATTATGGACCTGAGTTCAAGCTCATACACACATGTCTGATAGTTTCAACACACATGTCTGATAGTTTCAACTCTTACTCGAAACCTCTTAATAGTCTCCCTCATTGGACTGTTTCCTATTTAATATGATGAAAATGTTAATGGCTTCAATCTAATCCACAAGGCTCCTCTTCACCTATACGCTAAGAACTCTTAACCCTACCAGGACAGTATCATTTGTGCTTACAGGCACTGCTCAGTGTGCCTGGCAGGCCTCTTCTTTTTATGCTGTCAATCTAGTGAACTCAACAGAAATTTAGCCTCCTTTATGAGGCCACTCTCTCTCTTCCCACAGCACTTAGCAATTGTCAGTATATTTTGTCTCTCCTTAAGCAGGCTATCAGCTTTTTGAAACGGGAATTTTATTACATTTATTTTCAATATCAGGTACAATGCCTGGTACACAGTAGGCATGAAAAATTCTTTGTAGTAAGTGGATAATTGGATAAATTTTGAACACTCCTTATCAACAGAGGCTATTTTCATTCTTTTGATTATACTATATATTTTTGTATAAAAAGCACTTGCTTTCTTCCAGAGCTACTGTTGATTCAACATTGCAGCAAATGATACCTGCAACCACTTCACTCTAGAATTAGAAATGTATTCTGTGGGTAAAGAAATACAAGCACAAGAAAATGAAAGGTATTATATATTCATGGTACCATGGAAGAATAAGAATATTAAATTCACCAGTTTGTCACCTCATGTGGACTTTCTAGATCTTTTGGTAAAACATATGGATGATAGACTTTCACATATGTGTGCGCACACACATTCACACACACACACACACACACACACACCTATTTCCTCATGTGATCTTCACAGAAGCCTTAAGCTGTAGCAGTTGTGGTCATATTTTCCTAATGAAGTGATTGACACCGTGGGAAATTAAGTACCTTGCTAGATATAAATCCAATAAGAGACAGAATGATTATTCCCACCCATTTATTTCAACTAGCTTCCATGTCCTGTTATCTACTCCATTCTTCCACATGGACCTTTAGGGAAACTTTGAAATCTAAACCATAGCGCTTTATAAGAAACACTTTTATAACTAGAGCATATTGTTTGAGTAAAGTTCTTTCTGTCATTAGTCTCACAGCATGCAGTCAAATGGTTTTCCAGTCAGTTCTTTCTCCTCACTAGCTTCATTGTGGCTGTCTGATTTATTTGCAACACAGTTAATCTGTCCCTACACATATTTCATCTTATGCTCTGCTCATGTCCCAGCTGATTTTGTTTAATTTAGATTTTGTTAAATAGATAGTGCTATAGGCTTTGACAAATCCGTAGTCTTAAATCTGCTGCCACAGATGCATACAGAACAGATCTTACCCCCAGATTCCATGGTACTTCCCGGGTCAGCCTCTTCCCCTTCAACCCAGTCTCTGGTGAGCACAATAAGTTTTCCATACCTACAATTTTGCTATTTTTTCCAAAATGTCATTATAAATGGAGTCATATCCCTTCGGCTCTGGCTTTTTATTTAGCAAAATGCCTTTAAGGTTTATCCAGGTTGTTACATGAATTATTTTATTTTCATGCTGAGTAGCATTCCACTATATGAGTGTGTCACAAGTTACTTAGCCTGTCATTGGACATCCCATTTGTTTCCAATTTTTAGTGATTCTTTAGTGACTATGTGAAAACTATTTCATTTCTTTTGGATAAATACCTAAGAGTAGTGTTGTTTGAACACATATTTATGTATGTAAATATTTCATAAATGTACATATATGCTTAACTTTGTAAGAAACTGAAGAAATGAATTCTAAAATGGTTAAATAATATTTTTCTTTCCTATCTCTTAACAATGTTTGACATTTCCAGTTGCTCTCCCTTCTTGTTATCACTTGATATTGTCAGGTGGTATCTCTATTTTATGGTTTAATTTACATGCTTGTCTTGAAGACTGAACATATTTTCATATGCTTGTTTGTCAAGCATATAGTATAATGTCTATTCATACCTTTTTAACCATTCTAAACTAGGTGGCTTATTTTCTTCTTGATGATGTTTTAAAATTTTATTGTTATTATTATAAAAGTGATATACACAGGGGTTGCAGTTATGTAAGTCAAGTAAAGAGTTCATTTCTTTTTGGACAATGTCATCCCTTCCATTGCTCTCTCCAAATTTTTCTTTCCCATTATAGTCCATTTTCAAAATAGTGTCTAGTGAGTACCATTGCTTCATTTGTTCACTCTTTGTCCCTCCATTTCTGTGCCCCCCATACACTCTCAAAGACAGATAAACAAATAAAGAAAAGAAAAACAAAACAGCAACAAAGAAAAAACTTCTTGTTTCCATTTCCTAGAGTTCATTTCAATAAGTATTATTTTATATGGTCAGATAAACATAGGCATTGCGCCTTTTTGTTCCTCTCCTAAGAGTATCCTCTTTTGGTCTTAGTCTGAATGAATGCCTAGAGTCCTGTATAATTTACCATGTCCCCATGTATTTTAGATCTAGTTTCTGCATATGAGACAAAACATAACCTGTTCGTTTCTCTGAGCTTGGCTTACCTTATTTAACTTGATTTGTTCTTGGTCCATCCATTTCCCTGCAAATGACATAATATTATTCATTATAATAGCTGTGTAAAACTCCACTGTGTGTCGGTACCACATTATTTTGGATCCACTTATCTACTGTAGGGCTTCTGGGCTGTTTCTATAGCTTGGCTATTGTGAATAGGGCAGCAATGAACATGGATGTGCAAGTATCTTTAAGGTATCCTGGTTAGTAATGTTCTGGATAGATGCCCAGGAGTGGTATAGCTGGGTTGTAGGGAAGATCTATGTTTAGTTTTTTGAGGAACCTCCAGACTGCTATCCAGAGTAGTTTTACTAGTTTATATTTCCACCAACAGAGAAATAAGGTTTGATGAATTTTGTTTGAGGTATAAATTCTTTGCAAAAAATGTGATTTGAATACATTTTTCCCTGGCTGTAGCATATCTTTCATTCTGTGTACAGTGTCTTTGGCAGAGGTAAAGTTTTTCTTTAAAATTCCACTTACCAGAGTTTTACTTTATTGATTGTGCTTGTCTAATCTGAGACGTACAGATTTTTCTTATACTTTCTTTTAGAAGTTGTATAGTTTATTTAAAAATTTTATTATAGAATAATTGCATAAAGAAGT